TCACTCCTAAGGCAACCATCGAGAATGAGCTCGATGAAGATTGAGTTGCGGGAGATTGTAGTTGGGGTTGGGAAGGAAGGGTTGGTTAGGTTTGTCCAACCCTCAACATTGAGGCTTGGAACTTTTCCAACCCAACCAAGGGAATATTGAAGGTTGGATTTTCAACCAATCACAAACTGCAGTTCAATGTAACAATCTACTCTATCTTAAAAACAACCATTCAATGGTTATAGGTTGGGTTTTCCCAACCCAACTAATTGCCACATAGGCTACAAGCCTAAGGACCATCCCACCATGGAACCCATGGTTGGGAGAGTTCCCAAAGGGGTGTATTGAGGGGGTTTGAGCTTCCAAGCTCATTCTTCACCTCCCACTCCAACTAATCAATTGGAAGTGGGATTATTTTGCCTAAGTCGTTGAGCTCTCTCACACAACTCCCTACACAACTCTTTTCATGTGTTTCTTATCAAGAGCTTCAAGAAGACTCTCCTACAACAACTCAAGATCTCATTAGAGGCATAGAAAGAGTATACCATTGTACTTGGGATCTATATAACCATTGTAAACTCTATTATAAGGGGCTTGACATTACAATGTCAGTGGTAACCACAAGCCGATCATGGGGTACTGTTGGGGACGACTGGGCTGATGAAGATGACTTGCAAGCCATGTGGGCCCAGTCGTTTAGGGTTTGCCAGTGGAGGCGCGAACCTTCGGGGAAAGTTCTGTTCAAGATGAGGAGAGTTCGCAACAAGAGTGTGCCTCACATCGTGCTTGAAGGTAGAGTTAGGGAAGGGGGGGTAAGGGAGAGAGGGAATACGGAGGAGAAAGAGAGTTTTAGAACGTCATTGTGCCTCACATCGTGCTTGAAGGTAGAGATCGGGGAGGGGGTATGAGGGGTGCAGAAGTGAGGTAAGTGAGACAAGTGCGAGGGTGGGAGGAGATGGGTTACTCGCACCTCCCTCCCTCTTTTCTTCCTCCTTCAGAGCTACAGACAGTAGTGTCGATTCTCCACCGTCGCCACTTAAGCAGGCTGCTGGCGATTTGAGGCCCCTAAAAAACCAGCTCCCTTCCTCTCATCACTGGCTCCCTCCCTCTTATTTTTTCATAGCTACATGCGGCGGTGTCAATTCTCCTGAGCCGCCACTTCAGGCGGGCGGGTGGCTTATTAAGGATGATTTAATGTCAATTCTCCTTGGAGAAGACCGCGAACGGTGCAGATAGGTGGGGGTCAGGTGTGGGGAATATCCAGTCAGGTGGAGAAGTGGGCGCAGGTGGGTGCTTGGCGCGCAAAGCCTCCAGCACAGTTGGAGGCATGTTTGGGCACTGGATGGCTGGCTGTCATCTCGTTTCGCGTGGGTTTCTCCTTGCTTCTTCTTGCCATACCGCATCACCGTGTCACCGTGTCTCCCTTCCTCACGTGCGGCTGGAAATTCTCTCGTCACCCATTCATTGCAGGTGCTGCAGTCGACCGCAGAGTGGCTGGCGAAGGACAAAGGGTACCGCGCCTACACCATTGACTGGGCGTCCGCCATGCTCTACCCGCCCTTCAAGGGCATGTACTATGGCATGGCGTACCTCCCATGGCTCTCCAATTTCAAGGGCGTGTGGGTGCTGCTCATGGCGTGTGAGCTGAGTCTTCTCATGGCATGCTGTGGAATATTCTTGCGAAGCTCTTGTATAAAAGACCTGGGTTGACATTCAAGTTGCAATGGAGACCCTGAGGGTGGAACATTTAATTCAAGGGCGTGTTATTGCAATTCGAGACATGTGTTCGCATGTCATTCTGTAGAACGGTCTTCTGAAGCTCTTGCATGTAGGACCTGGGTTGAAACTTTGACATGCAACGGAGACCCTGGGGGTGGTACAGGCATTGCACTCGACCGGTCCCTTTCTGCCTCCACCATCCCAATCCCCCTCTCCCCTCCTACAGCCCCCCCACCCACCCCCCCTCTTAACAACTCATGCACACATATTGTGGATCCTTCCTCCCTCTATCAGGCGGCGCATTGAGGAGTTTGTGGTGAGGGCGTACAACGGAGGGCCGGGGGGAGTGAAAATCGCAGCAACAGCAGTCTACTGGAGCAAGTACCTTAAGGCCAAAGAGGTGAGGGAGGGGGGGACGGAGGATTCAGGGTGTAGTCCTGTTGTGCTTGAGGAGTGGGACTGTAGTAGGATATTGCAGAGGGGCGGCAAGTCGTTTGACGCGATCGCAATCGTGCTGGCAGTGTTGGCGGTGCTGGCGGTGCTGGCGGTGCTTCATCGTGGAACATTTGTGCGTTGCCAGTGCTGTGCTTGATTTCCGCATGTCCAATATGCTGGTGACTGCAGGAGATTCGCAACATGTTACGTGGCTCATCTGCTCCATCCCTGCCGTCCACATCCGGTTCATCTGCACCGTCCACATCTGGTTCATCTGCACCATCCACATCTGGTTCATCTGCACCATCCACATCTGGTTCTGCACCATCCACATCTGGTTCATCTGCACCTGCCCGATTCCCAACCGTCCATGCCTGTATCTATCCCGGTGTGCAATCCGACTGGGTGCGTGAAGTGGTTACCATGTTACGTAACTCATCTGTGGAAGCACAGGGCATGCTTGACATGCTACATGGCTCGTCCATGTCAGTACAGCTACTGGTCGACCTGGTACACTGCTCATCCGTGTCAGCACAGGATATTATTGACGATCTACGTGGCCCTTCCATGTCAGCACAGGAAATGCTCAACGGGTTACGTGGCTCATCCATGTCAGCACAGGAAATGGTTGACATGTTGCAGCGCGCACCCATGCCAGTTTACAGAATGGTTGACATGGCACTTGGCTCATACATGTCGGTGCATGAGATGGTTGTGATTGTCCGCCGCTCATCCATGTCAGTGCGGGAGATGGTTAACCTGCTCCTTGGTTCGTCCATGTCGGTTCAGGAAATGCTCAATGTGCTGCGCTCTCATACAGGAGGTGCCATTTGTTGAACTTGAGGTGCTGGGTTGCCAGGCTATGTGGTGACACTGAGCCTGGTGCCAGGGCCCCGTTAAGAGATTGGCAAAAAGGATACGTAAAACATTTCGTCGACAAATATGTTTAAAAGTTTTACCAAAGACTTTCTGTTGCTGCACAGACATAGCTATGGAATTCTTGAGTTATCATGCTATCATGTTTGATGGTTTTGAAAACACACTTCGTATAGAGAGGACAAAACTAGGCCTGCCTTTCCACCCAAATCTGTGCGGAGCGAGCACTCTGGGCAATCCCAAAGGCTGCTGATAGAAATCCAGCAGCACTCTCTCGGCCCTGCTTTTTCTCAGTCTCCTTGCTTCGCGTTGATCCCTAAAGTCCTTTCGCGTAGCGTTGTCGTTTACGTCGCAAAGTTCTTTAACGAAAAGTATATCCATAAGGTTTCTCGTAACAAATCGTCACAAAAACGGCCAGTCGAGGACGACGATTTTAGCGGGAAACTGTTGAGGCGCCTCGACGGACTCACGAAACTGAAACACACCGACACAGCGAGAGTGTTCCCAAACCTCCCATACCACTGATTTCGCGTGACGCGGCGCCACCAGTATTCCCGAACGTGAACCCCATTGAAAGTCGCCTTCAGATCCGTCCACGCACCTCGCTGCTTGTTGTCCCACCGTTCGATTTTAGTGACGTGGCATGCTCATGAGTAAACAGCGAGGCAGGCCGAGGCCGGAACCCCAATGGTCAGGCAGAGGAGGCATGTGGGCGTGGAGGCAATGGGTTGAGCAGCCGAGTGCAGACTGGAGTAGAAATGAGGTCGCCGCGGTTGGACCTAATCATTCTTATGCCGTTCTGTCGATCTACAGTCAATAAACCTTCCAGCAATCAGTATCTGTTCAGCGATTTCTTCCCCGAACCGAATTGGTTTGACAACTTCAAGTGTGAAATGACAATGACAAGGCCGCCATGGCTGCCTGATACTTGCCTGACAAGCACATTGCGTGAAGCCTGGCCACCTGATGGCTTTAATTTCACCGGCAATGTATTCGCTACATCCTTACGAAGACGTCTATACATTTTTTATGTTCATCAAGCGAACATTGTATCGGCTTCTCTAGGGAGTTCCACGCTGGTACAAGAATCTAAGCTCAAGGTCTGCGCGTGCTTCCCAAGATGCTATGCTGGCACTCAGAAACAACAATCAAGGACTAAGATTACTGGCTACTTGGATTTCACCCACGGATCTGACCCCGAAGTTCTATCATCAGTTTTCCAGCATCTCTGCTACGAGCAATGGTCAACATCCTATGCTAATGGTGTCACTGGCAGGCTATATTATGTTTCTGTGCTCAGACCACCGGCTCATTGCTTTCAACAGCAAGCTCTGTCAGACTTTCAGCCGTTTTTGGTTCATCATTGCACGATGCCGCCGAAGGGGTCACGCGCCAAGCCAGCAGTTGAAGTCACACCGCCTGTTGTCCCGAACGATGGCTCTGAGTCTGCATCCAAGAAGTCAGCAAAGGGCAAGGCAAAGGTCGCAGAAGATCTGCCGTCAGAAGCAGAAGTGACTGCGGGTAGCTCGGGACTCTCCATTGAAGACAAGCTGAGAGCGCTGGCTACGGTCGCACCTGATGACTCATTCATTGAAGACGATTCTGATGAAGAGCTGGAAATCGACACCGGGAAAGAATCTGCGACGCACCTTTGTTTTACCGCGACGCTGCTCTTCCCGGTCATTCCATCTCATGAAATCGCCTCTGTCATTATCACCGTCAGGATGCTGATGAAGCGTGTTTGGTCGCACATTCTAACTGACGGTGTTCTTACCACAGTGAAGTTCCAGGAGCTGCTTCCTGCATACGTTGCGAAGACACGCTACAGCAGGATCCAAGTCTCCTTTCTGCAGGAAATGGATGCTGTTAATGTCAAGCAAATGATTGTGGATCACAAGCGTCCGAACGGAGCGACTATCCACTGCTTCTGGCTGCACCAGGAAGACGCGGCCTTTATCCGGACAAAGACGGCGAATCCGCAAATGCTTGAGGTATATTTCAAGGGCGTACCTGCGGACATCCCGCCGGAGCTGGTGAAGGATGTGATGGTGGTCTACCCGCTGAGAGTGCGGAAGCAGTCGGCGTTCAGCGAGGGTCACTGCTTCCACCGTGTGCTGCACCCTGTCACTGGTGCCGACACCGACAAGATCAAGGGACCGGTGACCCCGCACGCGGGTGATAAGCATCGCTGGCGTCATGAGTTCCATCATCAGCTGCTTGGTGGATCGGCGCTGCTGGCCCACTACCCCCTGTTATCCTGCACGCTCTGTGGCGGACATCACTATGACAAGTTTCATGATGTCTATGTCACGGAGCGTCAGAATAACATAGGGAAGTGGAGTCTAAATGTGGGTCGGGTTCACAGGATTAATGGTAAAAGTCTCTTACCGTTTTGCTGTCGGGGTTGTCCGTGCAGTTTCTTACCTTCCTCAGCTACTGACCCCTTGCTCGCCTCTCGCAGGTGCCTCTCTCCGCACTTCTCCGCTTGTCACTCCTCTCCTTATGGATGCGGCTTTCGTCTTGATCTCCACGGGGAGCAACAGGGAGGAGTGGCTCTGCACCCTGGCCAGCTGTGGGAAGGCCAGCGGCAAGTCATTCATGACCGCTGCGGATCACGTCACCTCTGCAAGCCATCTGCTGGGGTTGGAGAAGCTGGGTGCAGCCACTCGCATCTCTCTCGAGAAGCTGAACCTGAACATCATCCGCAAGGATTATGGGTGCTGAGGGAAGATCTTGAACGTCTGGGCCGGATCTCTGCTGTAGTAGCCGTTGGTTTTTCTGTTGTAGCCGTTGCATGTTTCACCAGCCTGTGGATGAAAGGGGGCTATCAAGCAGTGATTAAATGAGTACAAAAAATATCCTCACGATAGCAGGCCTGAACGTGAACGGCCTGGGGGATGGTAACAAGCAACAACGTACGAGGAACTGGATCAGACAAGCAGCTGACATCACAATACTCTCAGACTCTAGGCTTGCAGAGGACCACCCGTTTTGGAACTCCCTTAGACACCCTAGGACCTTAGTAGCCTCACCAACATCAAAAGCCGGTGGGGTGGCGCTGATCTGCCGCAGGAAAGGCCTTTCGCTCCACAATATCTTGATTCACCCATCAGGTAGACTGATCAAAGTAGATGTACGGCTGGATGCCTTCCTTATCACCCTCGTTGCGGTCTATTTTCCGGCGGACGCGTCGGAGAGGAAAGTGTTCATCCGTCGGATCCTGGGCCCGGTGGTTGATGGTGTACCATCAGGCTCTCACCTGCTCATTCTGGGTGAACTGAACCTGGTGGAGGACCCGCTGCTGGACAGGACCTCGAAAAAAGGGTCAACTAAGGAGAATGAGGAGCTGTATCAGCGTTGCAGTACCTTCCACCTTTTGGACGCCTTTCGTGTCCTGCACCCCTTTAAAAGGGAATTCACTTTCTACTCGCATGCTTGCCAAACCAGCTCGCGCATTGACCGTGCCCTCATCTCGCAATCACTGCTATCCCATGCTGAGCTCGCCGCGCACATCATGCCTGCCGATCCAATCTCCGACCACAGTTTCGCGATCAAGGTGGCCTTCAGGATGAGCACACAGGTGCAGACAGGTCCGGGCCTCTGGAAGTTACCTGCATACATGGTGGGGAGACCAGGAGTAAGGAAAGTCATTGAAGCAGTGGCTTGTCAGATAGAGAAGTCGGGGGGTGACTACGAGCTTCTAATCTCGAGGCTGAACGCCGGGCTGAAGGCATATGCCAGGGAGGAAAGCAAGAGGGTTCGGGCTACGATGATCTTCCTTCAGCAGGCAGTTGCAGATCTGAAGCAGGCGTGGCTGGGGGACCCGAGTTGCGTTCGGTTGAAGGAGCTGCTGAACGAAAGGGAGCTTCAGCTGAAAAGCTACCAGCAGTCGCGGCAGGAGAGACTGCACGTGATGGCGGGGATGAAGGAAGTGGCCCTGGGGGAGGTTGCGTCGCCTTTCCTGTCTGCAAAAATCAAAGATCGGAAGGAGCGCACACAAATAACGGAGTTAAGCGTGGGGGGTACAACAGTCAACGATAATAAGGGGATCTTGGATGCAGCCTCGCAGTACTACCGTCAGCTCTTCGGCGTAGACAGGCAGAAGGTCTTATCTGGTTGGGTTCCCCCTGAGGACAGGAGGTTGTCACCGACAGCGGCGAAGTTGGTGTCAGCTGACTGGTCGGAGGAGGAGGTTAAGAGCGCGTTCCGGTCGATGGCGAAGGATAAAGCTCCTGGTCAGGACGGTCTACCAAAGGAGCTTTTCGAGGAGCATTGGGACGTCCTGGGCAAGCACTTCATGGCGCTGGTGGAAATTTTCTCCGGCACGGCGTCTCTCCCGGCCTCCACCAAAGACGCGGTGACCATCCTGCTGCACAAAAAGGGGGGAAGGGATCAGCTGGAGAATTATCGCCCTATTACACTGCTCAGTTTCACCTACAAAGTGATCGCACGGGTGGTGGCGGTCAGAATGAAAAAAGTGCTCTCGGAGGTCGTCTCTCCGGAGCAGTTCGGGTTCCTACCTGGGAGAAGGCTGTCGGATGCGGTGGGGCTTGTGGCGGATATCATTGATGCGGCCAAAAATAAGGACAAGGACTGGTATCTCCTACTTGTTGACTTCAGGAAAGCCTTCGACTCGGTGTCGAGAGGCTTCTTGTTCACGGTGCTGGAGAGGATGGGTTTCCCCTCCCGCTTCGTCGGCTGGGTTCGCGGTCTGCACAAAGACACACGGACAAGTCTGATGGTTAATGGATGGCTGGGAGAAGCGGTTGAGGTAGTCTCGGGAGTGCGGCAGGGCTGTCCGCTTGCGCCTTACCTGTTCCTGTGCGCGGTGGAGCCGCTGGCGCAAGAAGCGGCGAATCGAAAGCTGGGGCTGGCTGAGGGCAATCATCGGCTGGCGTACCTTGGTTACGCAGATGACACAACGTTAATCCTGGAAGGGGAAGAGCAGATTGCAACGGCAGAAAAGATGTTAGAGGAGTTCGAGGGGGAGTCAGGCCTGGCGACCAACAGGGGAAAGTCGGTTGTCTTACCGTTGGGGTCAAACCTGGGGAAGCAGCCCTGGAAGACTGACGGCTTCAAGTGGGCGAAAGCGGATGAGGCGGAAAGATTACTGGGCGTATGGGTGACTCCCGCCGGCAGTTGTGCGCCTACGTGGGAGAAGGCTTTTGCGCAAATCAAGCGGAAATTGTCACAGTGGGAGGCGCAGCATCTTACAACCGGTGCGAGAGCTGCGGTGATAAACTGCTACATCTCCCCGATTATTTTCTTCCAAGCCCAGGTGTACCCGCCACCTGTGGATATCTGGGGGAGGATACTGAAGCTGACGCATAATTTCATGTCGGGCAACCGGGCTTCCACAGACAGGGGATTCATACTGTGGAGCAGAGAGCTGCTGTACATGGCTAGGGAAGATGGGGGCGTGGGAGTGAAGGACCCGGAAATTACGCTTACCTGTCTAGCAGCAAGAAGGATCGGGTTGCTCCTCACGGAGACAAATGAGCTGAAGCGCGACATCATGCTGCAGGCTGCAGACTTACCGCTGGGGACGGATACCTTTGTAGCACATGTGAAGCTGCTGAAGTGTTGGCGCGGGAAAAGCGAGCGGTGGAAGTTGGCGTGTGCAAACTTCATGCAGTCGCCGCTCGCAATCACGCCGCTGGAACTGTCGCGGGAGGAAGCGGCGAGAGAGCGAATCGTGTTCAACCGCCATATCCTGATGAAAGGCAGGACTCCGGTGGGGAGTCAGAAAGCTGCGGAGAAGCTGTGGGAGGTTCGCCTGGGTGACCTGCTGGAGGCGGACGGAGACGGGGGCTGGTGCGTAAAGGGTGTAAAAACCCTAGCGAGAGAGCTGGGTGGGTCAAAGCAGGCGAAACTTGCACTCCGGGCGTGGGAAGCAGCGCCGCAGAGCTGGAAGTCCCTCCTCCTCTCAGCCGAGCAGTCCTCCGCCTCTATTACCCCCCCCCGTCCCCCACTCCGGCGAACGGCGGTTTTCGGTGGCGGGGAGCTGGTGTCGCTGAAGGAACTGAAAGGGTGTTGGCAGCAGACGAAGCACCAGTCGGCCAAGAGAGAACTCTGGGCGGGCAGATGGGCAGGGGCTATTGATTGGAAGAGGGTAATAAAAATCCGTGACTCGCCGGTGACACCCAACCGACCGCGGGATGTGCTGCTAAGAATACATAGCCTCAATCTCCAGGTGGGAGAAAGGCTTTCATTCCTAAGTGGCAAGCCGGTCTGCCCGCACTGTGGGGAGTTTGAAACCTTGGAGCACTGCCTCTTCACCTGTCCAAGGATTCAAACAGTGGTGGGGGCAGTCCGGAAGGTTCTGCGCATGTTGAACCCTGCGAGGCGGGTGGCTGACCTGGGAGACATGCTGTTCGGTGGAACGGCCTCCACGTCAGCGTTCCCGGAGGCATCACTTTCGGCCATTGCGCTGCATCAGATTTGGGCAGAGAGATGTGACTGTGTGTTCCGTGGCAAGAGGTTTCGGGCCAGGCGTGTTCTGAGGCGGATTGAAGCGGCTTTCAGACTTCATGTGCGTGTGTACACTCGGGCAACTGGGAAAAAGCTGGAAAAGAAAGGCGGCTTGAGGCAGCATGGGAAGGCATATGCGCTAGCGGATCAGGAGTTTCAGCTCCTTGGCTGTATCCGAACGCTGGAGGGCAAAGGTTGGAAGTGGGCACATCACTTTGGCGCGCCTGTGGAATCTCTCGCGAGGGGCTCTTCATCCCCCTTAGAAGCTTCCCATGAGGCAGGCGTGGTGCCTGGCCTCTCACGCTCAGTTACGACTGATATATGTTTCTATGCACTTGTATCTCCGGTGTATATTTGACATATTCAAAAAAACAAAACAAAACAAAACAAAACAAAAAAAACAAATGTTCAGCGATCAGCATCTGTCCAGCTATCCGCTATCAACTCTCCTCACGGCCAGTAACATGGCTTCTTACGCTGAAAACTGCAATGTTAACTCTGGTTCTCAAACCTCGATCAGTCCTGCAGCGCCTACTGGAGGCATTGGCAGGTTCGGAATCCCTCGGACCGTTTTCTCGCCTGCAGCATACTCTCCTGTGAAAGCCGCTGCTTGCAACGGCGACGGTGAGACGTTCTGCAGCAGCGTGCTCCTGAAGAGCGTGAGGCCGCTGCTGGAGAAACTGGCCTTCCAAGGCGTCGCTGACGGGCAACACAAGCCCACCTTGAAGGTGCACGTTGTACCTGATGCGCCTAATGTGAAGCGGCATGGAATCGGCCGCTTCGGAGGCAAGCCTGCTGCTGCCGTGCTCGCACCTGCGGTCGTCAATGCTGCTCCCGTCACACTATCTGCTGTGGTTGCGCCTGTGGTGGTGCCTGAGGTAGCGCCTGTGGCTCCAGTGGCTTCAACCACACCACAGGTGCCTGAAGCGAGTGTGACCACAGAAACAATATCCGAGAAGGCGTGTGCACGTGCTGCTGATCCGAGTGAGAAAGTTAGGTGGTCGAAGCTGCGTCAGGAGGTTCGAGCTATGGATATTGCAATGACACGAGCTGCTTACCTGAGGTGGGACAAGCTTAGCAAGGAGACATCATGGGCCATGGAGATTGAAGCGGCCATTGAAGCCGCCCTGCGTCCCTGCTTCGTGCGCAAGCATCCTGATGCTGTGGCGAATCTGACTCCCAAAACCGTGCCTCCTGCATCTGCAGCTGCAGCAACAGCGACTGTAGCAGCAGCACCTGCTCCCTCTGCAGCATCTGCAGTAGCGAAAACGACAGCAGTGAGAGGAGCTGCAGCAATAGTTCAGAAGCCAATGCGTACCCCGTGTGCAGCAGCACCAGTAGCAGCTGCAGCAACAACAGCAATTAATTCACCTCGTTTGGCATCACCAGTGAGAGGAGCTGCAGCAGCAGCACAGGTTCCGAGACCTGCTGTTTCAGCAAGGTGCAAGGTGGGGGTTGAAAGTGCATGGGGCAAGAATGGGTGCAGCAGCAAGGGGAGGCCAGCAGTGAGAGCAGATGGCAAGGCCAGCAGCAGGCAGGCGAGTGGGGTGAAGCAGAGAAAGGGGGTTGGGTGTGGGGAGGGAGCAGCAGGGAGGGCAGCAGGTGGAAGGCAGGGTGGTGGGAAGGCAGCGGGTGGCAGAGCAGTGGGAAGTGGCGTGTGTGGCATGGAGGGGGTGAAGCAGCAGGCGGGGAGGAGAGAGGGTTTGGTGCATGAGAGGCAGGCGAGGCCAGGCTGCAGCAGCAGCAGGGCGCACAGAAGGAGCTCCTCAAAGACGCAGCATCAGAATGAGAGTATCCCATAGGAACAAGGAATATGGGCTGTACATACATGGGTACAACAGTGAAGGGTATGCTGGAAGAATGGTGCCACCAAGGAACAACTCCCAGCTGCTGTTGGGGATATGTGGTGACTTGTAGCCTTGTTGGTAGCACTATGTGCTATGTATATTAGTATAACATGTAAGGACATGTAATTTGCTTGTAAATTGCATTTTCAATTCTCTGTTTCATCTGGGTGAAAGCAGTGCAGCTCATTCTGGATCATTCCTGATGTACTACAACACACACGGTCATTCTGGATCATTGTATGTTACGGTAGTTGAGATCTTCAGTGCAGAGGGTCCCAGAGGATCATGAAGTGTACACTGAGAGCTTGTGAATAGAACAGCTCCAGGCTGATGTATTACCGGTAAACGTGATGACACTAACCTCCATCTGTGCCTGCATGGGTACATATGTGCATGTGTTCATGCATGGGTGAATTGGTGCATGGATGAGTGGGTGCATGGCTGCATGGGTGCATGGGTGCGTAGGTGCACGGGGGCAATAGAAAGGGTCACGTAGCAGAAGCAAGGTATTGGGCGAATTGATGTGACTGAAAACCTCGGATGGCAGGCAGCAAGTGGTGGGACTGGGATGAGATGGGATGAGATGAGATGCGAATTAATGTGACTGAAAACCAGTCCCAAGTACGGGGGTGAAGCAAGTGAGAGAGGAGCGAATACAGTAAGTGGTTAGGAAGGAGGGAAGGGTAGCGAGCTAGCAGGGTGAAGGGAGAGAAGGCGATGGGGTAAATGAAGGTAAGCAGAGGAGGGAAGGAGTTTGGAGCTCAGAGAGTAAGGATCGCGGTTCTTGGGATGGGATGGGATGGGATGGGATGGGATGGGATGGGATGGGATGGGATGGGATGGGATGGGATGGGATGGGATGGGATGAGATGGGATGGGATGGGATGGGATGAGATGGGATGGGATGAGATGGGATGGGATGGGACTGGTTTGGTTGGGATGGGATGAGACGGGATGGGATGGGACTGGTTTGGTTGGGATGGGATGAGACGGGATGGGATGGGACTGGTTTGGTTGGGATGGGATGTGACGGCAGACGGGGATACGTGGCATGGCATGGGAAGGAGGGTGTGATGGCTGTAAATTGTGTGTGTGATGGCATGAAATTGTGTGCGATGTCACAATATGGTGTTGGTGTGGGTGTGATTGCATTAGATGTTGTGTATGATGGCATCGAATGGAGGGTGTGATAACAAGGAATATTGTGTGTGATTGCATGGGATGGTGGGTCTGACTGCATTGGATGGGGTGTGTGATGGCATGGGATGGTGGGTCTGACTGCATTGGATGGGGTGTGTGATGGCATGGGATGGTGTGTCTGACTGCATTGGATGGGGTGTGTGATGGCATGGGATGGTGGGTCTGAATGCATTGGATGGGGTGTGTGATGGCATGGGATGGTGGGTCTGACTGCTTTGGATGGGGTGTGTGATGGCATGGGATGGTGGGTCTGACTGCATTTAATTGGGTGTGTGATGGCATGGGATGGTGGGTCTGACTGCATTTAATTGGGTGTGTGATGGCATGGTATGGTGGGTCCGACTGCATTGGATGGGGTGTGTGATGGCATGGGATGGTGGGTCTGACTGCATTGGATGGGGTGTGTGATGGCATGGGATGGTGGGTCTGACTGTGTTGGATGGGATGTGTGATGGCATGGGATGGTGGGTCTGACTGCATTGGATGGGGTGTGTGATGGCATGGGATGGTGGGTCTGACTGCATTGGATGGGGTGTGTGATGGCATGGGATGGTGGGTCTGACTGCATTGGATGGGGTGTGAGATGGTATGGGATGGTGTGTCTGACTGCTTTGATTGGGGTGTGTGTGTCTGACTGCATTGATTGGCATTAATTTGCAGCCCATGGGTTACATGATGGGATAGTGCGTGTGATGGCATGGAATGTTGTGTGAATGATGGCATGGGATGGCGGCGGTGTGATTGAGTTGTTCGGTGGGAGTGATGTCATGGCATTGATTTTGTTGGGATGGGATGTTGCAGGTGATGCCAACCATTTTGTAATCGCTCACAGCGACCCGACCATGTTAGATGCTCAAGTAGTTGCTAAGTTGAAGTACCGTAAATGTTCCACCTCCATATTAGACAACCAAGAATCTTACAATAGATTGTTTTTCAAATGACGTGATCTACCCTGCTCATGTTCTTTTGCAAGAGTGGTGATATTTAAGGTTGTTATTGCCTTCAATTACTCCTGGCAAAGTAGATGTTTTAGGTTTTGTGTAATTTGTCTGTTCTTTTAATATTCTGACAAACACGAACACTGCGGCTCAATGTAACGAATCTATTCGGCTCTCTTACCCCTTCCTCGGCAGTTCCAATGCCTTGCAGCTGGAGCGAGCCACAAGTATCCAAGTTCCACCTCCAGCGGCGGATCTGTCGCCCAGATCCGTCGCACAGCGCTCGTTCTGTACGTGACAAAGCCTCCAGTAACAATCATGGTAACACTCGCTTGTAACAATCATGGTAACACTCGCTGGCACCAAAGTCGCTGTAACGCATTAGCATGCGACGAAAAGGTGGCGCCAGCGAAATGAGGCGTTTCGACTACGCACGAAACTGAAGCCCAATCGAACGTTCGCTCGCCAGATCCGTCGCGTGCGGCAGTGCCAGGCCTTGCGAAATGATTCGCTTTCGCTGGCTGGTCCGTTGCTTTCAAAAGTTGGCGGGAAAGTAGCTCAGGCGACTCACGAAGCACGAGTCTGAAACCCCAATCGAAGCCGCCTCGAGAATGGCTGCTGCGACCCTTCCCTGTAATTTCGACCCATTCTAAAAGTATCTGACGTGGCGTGCAGCGCAGCAACCAGCGAGGCAGGTCGAGGGTGAAACTTCAATGGACAGGCAGAGGCCCGGAGGCGAGGGTTTGAGCGGAATGGTATAGAAATGGGGTCGCCAGGGTTCCATCTTTTCATTCAGACATCCTCCTCTCCTGCTCTGTTGAACTTGCTCTTGGACTTGGATCTGCTCGTCCAGTACCCCCGGTCCTCTGCTGAGAGCTCAACAGTCACAGCTTTTAGATCTTGTTGCTACGTACCAAGCTTCTGTGAAGCGATCTGCCGTCCACTAACATGGACTGCTGCCTCGTTAACAACGGAATGGCGAAGAGCTTCCACTCTGGTTCTTCAACTTCAAGTCCTGCCACGCCTACCAGAGGCATTGGCAGGTTCGGCACTCCGCGAACGGTGTTCTCGCCTGCAGCGTCATACTCTCCGATGAAGCCAGCCGTTGACAAGATGGCTGATCTGCAACTTCCTGCTGCTGCTTGCAACGGCGATGGTGAGACGTGCTGCAGCAGCGTACTTCTGAAGAGCGTGAGGCCGCTGCTGGAAAATCTGGCGAAGCACCTCGCTGACGGGCAACACAAGCCCATCAAGTCGTACGTACCTGATGCACCTGATGTGAAGCGGCCTGGGATCGGCCGCTTCGGAGGCAAGCCTGCTGCTGCCGTGCTTGCACCTGTGGTCGTCAATGCTGCTCCCTTCTCACCATCTGCTGCTGCTACTGTCACACCGTCTGCTGTGGTTGCGCCTGTGGTGGTGCCTGAGGTAGCGCCTGTGGCTCCAGTGGCTTCAACCACACCTCAGGTGCCTGAAGCGAGTGTGACCACAGAAGCACTGCCTAAGGAGGCGAGTGCACGTACTGCTGATCCGAGTGAGAAAGCGAGGTGGTCGAAGCTGCGTCAGGAGGTGCGAGCTATGGATATTGAATATACCAGAAAATTAAGAGCACGTGCTGCTTACCTGAGATGGGCCACGCTGGACCAGGCGACGTGGGCCAGGGACATTGAAGCAGCCATTGAAGCTTCCCTGCCTGCCTGGATCGTGCCTGGTAAACCTCTTGCTCCTGCATCTGTAGCAGCATCGAGTGTAGCAGAGTCTGCACCACCAGCTGCTCCCTCTGCAGCAGCTGCAGCAGTGAAGTCACCTGCTGTGGCATCAGCAGTGAGGGGAGCTATGGATTGTGAATGGGCCAAAAAGTTGAGAGCACATGCTGCTTACCTGAGATGGGCCAAGCTGGACCAGGCGACGTGGGCCAGGGACATTGAAGCAGCCATTGAAGCTTCCCTGCCTGCCTGGATTGTGACTGGCAAAACCGTCCCCCCTGCATCTGCAGCAGCAGCGACTGTAGCAGAGTCCGCAGCACCAGCTTCTCCCGCGCCAGCAGCGACAACAACACTGAAATCACCTGCTGCGGCATCACCAGTGAGAGGAGCAGCAGCAGCAGCACAGAAGCCAAAGCCTGCTGTTGCAGCAAGGTGCAAGGAGGGGGTTGAAACCGTGAAGGGCAAGAATGGGTGCAGCAGCAAGGCGGTGAGCATGGGTGTGAAGGGTGGTAAGGGCAGCAGCACGCATGCAGGCTCTGGCCCATGTGGTGCAGCAGCACAGAAGCCAAGGCCTGCCCCATGTGGTGCAGCAGCAGCAGCAGCAGCAGCAGTTGCGGGATCACGTGGTGCTGCATCATCAGTAAGAGCAGCTGGCAAGTCCAGCAGCAGACACACGGGTGGGGTGAAGGGGAGAGAGGGGGGTGGGTGTGGGGAGGGAGGAGCAGGGAGGGCAGCAGGTGGAAGGCAGGGTGGTGTGAAGGCAACAGGTGGCAGAGCAGTGGCAAGTGGCATGTGTGGCAGGGAGGGGGTGAAGCAGCAGGCGGGGAGGAGAGAGGGTTTGGTGCTTGAGAGGCAGGCGAGGCCAGGCTGCAGCAGCAGCAGGGCGCACAGAAGGAGCTCCTGAAAGAGCCCTCATAGGCATGCCGGCCACAGCAATGGCTGCTCTCAGCATGAGAACATCCCATAAGAACATGGGCTGTACATACATGGGTACAACACTGAAGGGTGTGCTGGAATAACTCCCAGCTGCTGTTGGGTTAAGTAATGACTACTAGGAAGTACGGTATGATGTACATTGTATTGTAGGACATGTTACTGTCTAGAACAATACTACTTGTATTGTAATGTTGAAGTAACTTGCATTGTAAACTCTCTGTTTCATCTGGGTGGAAGGAGAGCAGTTCGCTAAGGGCGGGGTCAGCGCGTTCATTTTCGCCCCTTTTCCAAAAAATTGACACCCCTCGAATCAGGAAGACACTGTAGCATTACTGGTCCTGCTTTGTTTATGTCCAGGGTGAGACACGCGCGAAAAGTAGGCACAGGTCCCACCACACTTTTGGCTAACCGAAAACCCAATAAGGTAACCCCGTGCACCCAATGAGGTAACCCTGTTGCATCAGCGCCTGTTGCGCGCAGCAGGGTTTCTAGGCTCACATATGTCGAGTGGGACTCGGTGGTTTTGTGCTGATTTGCGACGGGGCAGATTTCCAATCTGTGTTTGTGTACCCTTGAATTTGCGAGAATCGCACGCGCTTCACGAAGTCGTAGTGCGGTTTCGCGATCTGCGTACAGTATTTCTCGAATGTTGCGCAGGGTGTTCGCGGGCGTGTAATGTACGTGTTGTTTTCGTAGACGGAACGGAAAACTAACACCGTTCATCCACTGCATACTCAGTCGTGTCCACACGTTACCCTAAATCAGGGTTACAAACCGCTGAAGCTGGTAACTGATTTGGGGTTTTCCAGGAAAACGAACGCGCTGACCCCGCCCTAAGAAGAGTGCAGGAGCACAATATCATCACCAATGTAGTCCAAAGCAGAAGCTCCCAGAGGATCATGAACTGTATATTGATAGCTTGCAAATGGAACAGCTCCCAGCTGCTGTGTCAAACATCTTGACACTATCCTCCACCTGTGCTTGCATGGGAAATTGTGTACGGTACATAGGTTAGTGGGTGAATAAGCACATGGATGCATGGGTGCATGGGTGAATGATTGAATGGGTGCATGGGTGCATGGGTGAATGATTGAATGGGTGAATGGGTGCATGGGTGAATGATTGAATGGGTGCATGGGTGCATGGGTGAATGATTGAATGGGTGCATGGGTGGATGGTCTTAGGGTCACATATTAGAAACAAGGTATTGGGCAGATTGATGAAAACCAGAAATTAAAGGGTGCATGGGTGCATCGGTGTGTGCTTGCATGGGTGCATGAGTGCTTTCTTGCATGGGTGCATGTGTCACATAGCAGATGCAATGCATGGGGTTGGGTGATGTGACTGAGAACCTCGGATGAAGGGCAGCAAAGAAAGAAGTAAGTGCTTCCCAAATGCGGAGGTGAAGTATATGAGAGGGGAGTGGTGTTAGGAGGAGGAGAGAGAACGGAAGCAGCAGAGTCATGGGAGAGAATGCGAGGTGGTGAGTGAAGGGAAGCAGAGGAGGAGGGCAGGGACTTGGGAGCTCGGAGAGAAAAAGAGAGCGATTCACATGGGCGTGTTGCTGGTAATGAGCTGCCCTGATGGTGAGGAGCGCAGGAGCAAGTGAGATGGCAAGCAGGCAGCAACTGGCAAGCAGGAAGTGACGGAGATGGGAAGCGAGACGGCAACAGAGAATCTGAGATGACAACTGAAATGGCAACTGAAATGGCAACTGAAATGGCAACTGAAATGGCAACTGAAATGGCAACTGAAATGGCAACTGAAATGGCAAGCGAGATGTGAAGTGATGGAACTTAAATGGCAAATCAGATGCCAACTGAAAAATAAACTGGAAAGGCAAATGCAGTTGCATCTGAGCTGGCAAGTGAAATGGCAAGTGAAATGGAAACTGAGATGGGATCTGAGATGGCAACATAGAGTCAACTGAGATGGCAACTGCAAGTGCAACTACGATCGCAACTGAAATGGCAAGTGAGGAGGCACCATAAAGTCAACTCCAATGGCAACTGAGAGGTGGCAATTGACATGGCAACTGCGATTGCGACTGAGTTGGTGTTTGAAAAAGCAACGGAGATGGGAATTGAGGTGGCAGCTGAACCGGCAACTGAAATCGCAACTGAGATGGCAGCTGAGATGGCAAGTGACATGGCAAGCAGATTGTGAGAGGGAGAAAATGGAACCCATGATGGCAGCTGAGGCAGCTGAGGCGAGAAAACAGCCATGATGACTGGAATGTGATGGGATCGGATGGGATGGGATGGGATGGGGTGGGATGAGGTGGGATGGGATGGGATGGGATGGGATGGGATGGGATGGGATGGGGTGGGATGGGACGGGACGGGACGGGATGGGATGGGATTGGATTGGACAGGACGGGATGGGACGGGATGGGATGGGATGGGGTGGGATGAGGTGGGATGGGATGGGATGGGATGGGATGGGATGGGATGTGATGGGATGGGATGGGATGGGATGGGACGGGACGGGATGGGATGGGATTGGATTGGACAGGACGAGACGGGATGGGATGGGATGGGATGGGATGGGATGGGATGGGATGGGATGGGATGGGATGGGATGGGATGGGATGGGATGGGATGGGATGGGATGGGATGGGATGGGACGGGACGGGATGGGATGGGATGGGATTGGATGGGATGGGATGGGATGGGATGGGATGGGATGGGATGGGATGGGATGGGATGGGATGGGATGGGATGGGATGGGATGGGATGGGATGGGATGGGATGGGATGGGGTGGGATGGGACGGGACGGGACGGGACGGGACGGGACGGGACGGGACGGGACGGGACGGGATGGGATGGGATTGGATTGGATGGGACGGGATGGGATGGGATGGGATGGGATGGGATGGGATGGGATGGGATGGGATGGGATGGGATGGGATGGGATGGGATGGGATGGGATGGGATGGAATTGGATGGGATGGGATGGGATGGGATGGGATGGGATGGGATGGGATGGGATGGGATGGGATGGGATGGGATGGGATGGGATGGGATGAGATGGGATGGGATGGGATGGGATGAGATGGGATGAGATCGGATGGGTTGGGATGGGATGGGATGGGATGGGATGGGATGGGATGGGATGGGATGGGATGGGATGGGATGGGATGGAGTGAGAGGCACACCAAATGCAAACGGGCAGAAACAATACACACACACACACAAAATATCAACATATCCACATTTCACAAAAAAACAGTTGATTTGTTTTTATTTTTATTTTTATAGCTCACTTTTACAGAAATGATACAGCTAAGGGCTGATGGGCTTCCTACCTTGGTGGCACTTGCGATGCCATGGCTGTAGCCTAACTAGGCATCCTAGCTAATTACAACAGCCCCCCCAATCGTCTCAGCACACACCTGCTCCATCTGAGAACTCACCTGCCCCACCACATGAGCACACACCTGCCCCACCTCATGAGAGCTTCTCTGCCCCACCACATGAAAACTCATCTGCCCCACCACATGAAAACTCATCTGCCCCACCACATGAAAACTCATCTGCCCCACCACATGAAAACTCATCTGCCCCACCACACAAGCACACACCTGGGCGGTGATGGGGTTCCTTTGGTACTGCCACCCTGGTGCGCACCACTGTGGGACTAATGCAGCATCTTGCGCTCTATGGATGGATGGTGTGAGTGTTGACATGGGTGTGGAGGATTGTATAAGGTAGGTGGGCGGTTTGTATCATGGCATAGGAAGGTGTGAGTGAAGGTATGGGATGGTGTGAGTGATTGTATCATTCACACCATCCTGTATGGCATTTCACAGCCCATGCCCATGCTCACTAACACCATCACACAGCCAATTTCATGCCAAATCACTCACACACACCAACCCATGCCAAATTTCCCACACATACCATCCCATGCCATCACATAAACCGTCCCATATAATCACACATCATCCCATACCACCACATTCGCCTCATGCCATATCATTCACAAGCCATTCCTTGCAATCACGTACATTTTTCCATCCTAGCAGTCTGCGATGTGATGGTGGCGTGTGAATCAGTTGGCATGAGGGCTGTGTGATGGTGTGTGATGGTGTGATTAAGCTTATGGCATGAATAAGGTCTAATTGATGACAGTGGGATGGTGCGTGTGTGAGTGAGTTGGCATGAAATCTGGTGTGATTGCACGGGGTGGTGTGTGAAAGAGGGGTCATGATATGGGCTGTGTGATGGCATGGGATGGTGTGTGTGAGTGACATGGCATGAGATGGGCTGCGTGATGGTATGGGCTGATATGTGGGTGCCATGGCATGATATGGGCTGTATGACGGCATGGGATGGTGCGTGTGCATGAGATGGCCAATGTACGTTGTGTGGGGGCATGGCATGGTATGTGTGAGTTCGATGGCATCAAATGCTCTGTGTTTGATGGCAGGGGATGTTGAGTGAGTGATATGGCATGACACTGTATGATGGTATGGGAAGGCGTGTGAGTGGATTGGCATGGCATGGACTGTGTGATTGCACGGGATGGTGGCTATAAAGAGGTGGCCTGATATGGGCTGTGTGATGACATGGATGTTGAGTGAGTGATATGGCATGACATTGGCTGTATGATAGTATGAGAAGGTGTGAGAGAAATGCCATGGTATTGACTGTGATTGAATGGGATGGTGTGTCTGAGTGAGATGGCCTGATGTGAGCAATGGTGCCACCGTGCTACAACCCGTTCCAAAACAGACTTTTCATGTTCAACCACTGCCATAACTAAAATCCCAATGTGACATTGCAAACCTGAACCCAAAATATACTATCCACCCAACGGAATGGAGAGCGTGAGTACCTGGTCCGGAGGCTTTGATGTGAGTAGACGGTGGGTATGATGTCATGTGATTGATTGTGAGATGGGAGGAATATGATGTGGGGTTATTGCATGCAGTGATGTGTCTTCTGGGATGGCCATGTTGCGAACAAATTCATCACTCAAAAGCAAATTGGTCGTGTTCGACGCTCATGGAGTAAATGAAAACTGTTACTTTTTACTTAAAAGGCATTGTGTACATAAAGTAAATCAAACCTTACGGTATAATATTTACAGATGTTGCGAGCGGCCCTACTCCTCATCGTTAATGAACTTCCCTGTACCGGGGTTGATAGCGGCGACGAAGAAGAAGGCGATACTGGCGAGCAGCAGCGGCTCCACCTCCCACACGGGCAAGCCAGTCTCGATATTCAGCTGCGCCAGCGCGCCTCTCCCGCTGATCACCTCGCCCACCAGGCTCGCCGCGAACCCCAGTTGCGCCATGCGCCCCACGAACAGCTCGTTCGCCTTGGTAAACCCGAACAACGGCCCCTCCTCGCTCAACCCCAGCGCCGCCTTCACGCTCCCTGGCTTCACCGGCGGACCCGCCGGCGCCTCGTCGTCCACGAATCGCCCGCGGTCGCCCAGCCCGCCGATGGCGCCGAGCACGGTGAATGCGATGAAGAAGAGCAGCAGCGGCTCGGCTTCCGTGATGGGGATGCCCGTCTCCAGGTTCAGTTGCGAAAGAATTCCCTGCCCGGTTACCGCTTCGCCCAGCAGCGACGCGGCGAATCCGAGCATCGCCACGCGGCCCACGAAGAGCTCGTTGGCTTTCGTGAAGCCGAAGCCGCCGGATGTGCCAAAGATGCCGTCCTCTGTACGGAGCTGCTTCTTAACGGGAGCGGTTTTAGCGGGGACGACGGCCTTGTTGAAGCCGAGGAGGGCGGTCACGCCGAGTCCGCGGGGAGCGACGATGGGAGCTACTGCTAGGCGATTGGCGGAGAGAGAAGCTCCCTTCACTGCTGCGCTGAAGGAAAGAGCGGCGAGAGATTGCTGTGCGACGAGTGAGGAAGCCATTGTGATAAATATCGAGAATGTGGTAGCGTGAGACGTTTGACGGAGAGTAGGCAATCAAGAATGTTGGCAGGCGGGTGATTGTCTGAGAATGGAACGATTTGAGCGGGTAAATTTATCCGTTTGCCAAGCCGCTTATCGAAATTGACAGTCGAGTGGGTCAGAAGCTGGATACCAGAATGGAAGCAGAAATTCATCGTGAGACGTGGCCGCCTAACCGAAGCGCCACGGTGGATGTTCCGCTTCAGTGTGCTCCATTCCTGCGACAAAAGCTAGCCGCGTGGCCTTGTTTTTGCCACCACGTCAGATCTCTGAAAGGTGGGGTAGAAAGGATCTGACGTGTCTTCTGGAACCTTTTGGGACCATCGAGCACGGACTGCAGAGTGTCGCTGGCATTGACCACCTGTGACCTGATTTGCTGGACGGAATGGGATGAGTGGTTCGCACACCAATTTAGGTTCACTCGTTGTCTTTAGAAGGTACCGTACTTGCATATTTTATTGTTAAGTTCAGAATACTCAGTCTGCTATGGCATGTGAGATGAGAGCAAATCAGTAAACAATAACCTGGTATCATCGTCGGTGTTATTCTATGGTCTGGTACGCCCCCTAGTGCCCTGAGTCATCAGGGGATTAGAAGATGTAGGGGACAGTAATCTATATGTTATCAACAGCGATGTGAAGATGTGACAACTCCCATCAGCTACTACCGTAATAGCATCCTTCAACCACGAAAACAGACAAGTTTTTTTTCAGCCACTTTACAAGAACAACTGACCTAATTAATCAAGGCACTGCTGCATGCGCATGCACGCCTCACTTGGCCTGTGGGTGCGACGCGATGTAAGCGATGGCATCGGCGCAAGATTGGATTTTATCGGCATCGGCATCGGGGATCTCGACAGCAAACTCCTCCTCAAACGCCATCACCACCTCCACCCCGTCTAGCGAATCCAGCCCCAGGTCCTTCTGGAAGCTCGCCGTGGGGGTCACCTGCACAGGCACACAGAGAGTAACGCGAGGTAAATATTGAGGCGCCTCAAAGAACATCATCACCACCTCCACTCCATCTAGTGAGTCCAGCCCCAGGTCCTTCTGAAATTTTGCCGTGGGGGTCACCTGCATGGGGTTTCAACACGGTATGCATGAAGGGCGAGGCATGAGGGGGAAGGGGGCAGGAGTGGCATTATGGAACCACCACCTCCACCCCATCTAGCGAGTACAGCCCCAGGCCCTTCTGGACGTTGGGGGTAGCCTGCATGCACATGGCTGCATGGAAGGGGGGAAAAGGGGGCAGGAATGGAATTATGGAACCACCACCTCCATTCTGTCTAGCGAGACCAATCTCAGATCCTTCTGGAAGTGGGTCGCAGGGGTCACCTGCATGCACACATAGTGACACGAGGCATAAGAAGCGGAAGGGGGCAGGAATGGCACTATGGAGCCACAGCCTTCACCCAGTCTAGCGCCGGCCCCAAGTTGTATTTAAAAGTGCGCCGCAGGAGTCACTTGCATGGGGGATCAGCAGGGTAGCACATGGGACGAACACGGGTGAACATGGGAATAGAGACGAGATGATACTGAGATGATGAGAGGAGGAGACGGCAGGAGCACAGATGCCGACCATGGGAGTCTCAAGTGCGAGGGGGAATGATAGAGAGGAACGCGGAAGGGGTGACGGAGGGAAGAACGGAGGGAGGGAGAGCGAATGAGTGGGAGATACAGGGATAGGGACAGTGAGAGAGGGAGGGAAGAAGGAGAGGAAAGGCGGTGAGGACCAAAAGGTACAGGTTGACCACTCACTGACACACCTCGTGAAGTAAGTGAATTTTTGAGACGTCTCAAAAAGGCCGTGAGGACCAAAAGGTACAAGTTGACCACTCACTGACACACCCCACTTTCCCACTCGCCCGCTCCGCTTCCCCAGCGTCACTACCGTTCCCGCAGCGAAAGCCGCAAGTAGGTAAGAACCATGCATCTCACGGCCTTACGCGTCGCGCGCAGGCGCATCGGCGGAGACACTCAGGCGCGACTCTAATGCACGCCGAATCTGCGGATTCGAGGCACTTGCCGCCCAGCACCAAGACACGCGGGTAAATCACACAGCGATGGAGTCAACTCGGCGCCCCGTGCACGCAACCTTCGCTGATCGATGCGAGCGCATCCTCAAATTCGATCGAACACAGACAGCTACGCGAACCACGACAACCCCAATCTCTCAACGCCGCGACAAACTTGCCGCCGTCATTCCTCGCGATCTTACCAGCTTCGGATCCACCTTCTGGAACTTCTTAACTACGTTCAGCACGCGCTCCGTGACTGCGTCCTTGTCGAGGTACGTGCCGGCCGACTCCGCGAACCCGCGGCTCGGGGCTCCGCCGGCCGGCGCGCTGCCGACGCGCGACCAGAAGGAAGGCGCCACGGGTAGCCGCACGTGGCCCAGGACGGCGGATCTGACGAGCGCGAAGGCGGCTGCCGGTGCGCGCTGCATTTTGATGGTCGGTGGGCGGATCGACACGTGGGACGATAGATGCGGAAGGATGCCAACCCAAGCTTTTAAAGAAAGCTGAAGAGCGGAGGTGTAAAGGAAGTTTGATTGAATGGCGGAAGTGACGGCGGGATCGGCGGAACTCGAAGAAGGGATGGATGGCGGGAATGACAGCGTGTGCGAGGGTTGAGCAGTTTGTGAGGTGGAATGCGGGAAAAGGGGGCGAGGTAGAAAGGATGCGGATGGTCGGGGGAAGGTTGTGCACGGGGGAAGGGGGCAAAGATGAAGGTGAAAGAAAGGGGAAGACGAAGATGGTGATTCTGTACAAGATGTTTTGATAAGTGAAGTAGAGAATCATCTTCTTCGTGTATGTTATAAACTTTCACGAGACCTTGCAATGTGGAGTAAACATGTCACAGTTTGGGTTGCCAAGGTGGATCATCTCTGACCACGAGAAGAATTTGGGCCGATGTGGCATCCTTTTCCAACTGTTTTGGAATTGTCTCTGACACGTGTCAGCTCTAGGATTTTTGTCAAGAACCCACGTTTGGTCTGGTTGAGTGAACGGTGGTTGTTTATGTGCTGATGCTTGATTCGGGGGTACCACAAAAATGTACTCTATGTCCCGAGAAAAACTCCCAGAACTTCATATATTGCAACTGCACATCAATCAGAGCAGGTTTTTCACTACGACGGCGCATGAACCAGAAACAAGGGGTTTCACAAGGTACTAGAAGTGAAGGTCTAACCCCCAAAATGAAGGACCAAAAAGGTAAACTTATAGAGATTAGCAAGTACCTTGAGGATATTATCCATTGTAAAAACCTGTCACCCTCGATGATCAGTACGAAACATCCACGGGTCATCTCTCGAGTCTCGTCTCGTTTGTTGCTCACATCACCCCTCATTCCATCATTCACTCCGTCAGTCTTCAATTCATTGTGCGCTACCATACTCGCTACGCCGCCATGGCTGCCGCTACTGTTTGCTCTGTTGCTGCCGGCAGCTCCCTGGCCGGCCATCAGTCGCGCCTCGCAGTAAGCCCCTTTCCACCGTACCCATTAACTGCTGCATCAATCTCGCTCACATTTCTCGTCCCGTGCCGCGTGTCTTGATCATACGATTGTTTTCTATCCCAGTCGCCAGGATCCAGCACATTGTGTATCCCTGTTTATACCCTCTCTCTCACACTGGTATCTTATCTACACGCGTTCCCCGTGACTCCTTTGTCGCCTTGCAGCTGCCTCAACGGCAGACCGTCGCGCCGTTCCTCTCGTCAAGCGCGTTCACTGGCGGCCAATCAGGTGAGCCCGTCGCGAGCGGCACAATCTCGCGCCCCGACGGCATTGTTGCGTCTACCGATCGTAGCGCGGATATTCAATCACTGCGACCTTTTCGCCGGTTCGCGTATCATCTCGTGTCGTGGTGGCTGCGAACTCGGGTGCCGTCGCTCGGATCATCATGACACCGAATGGCCGTTGCCGCGTGCCTGCGAAGTAGAATGGGAGCAACGGCGTGGCGGTGTGACGGCGTGGAATCGAGCGAATCGCCACTGCGACGCGTACGCATTGACCGCAATCACAGGGCATCACAGGGAGACACCTCCGCAATGACGAGGCACCACAGCGAGACACCTACGCAATCACGAGGCATAATGGCCGAACATTTACATTGTCGCGGCAACGCGCGATCACGCATCACATTCCCTCATAGCACCGTACACGGGTCTCTTACAAACCCGCTGCACTTCACAGAGGCGAAACCCTTCCACCGTTTCCCCCCACCTCATCTCCGCCTTGACCATAGCGCGTATTGCCTTCGTTTTCCGCCCCCTGTGCAATAATCATCGTTCTGATACTTTGTTGCACTCTTTTCCTTTTTCCTGTCTGCAGCTCTGCGCGCCAATGCCACGTCAGCGAGGCCCGCTGGCGTGGAGGGGCCAACTCTCCGCCACGTGGCACCACAAGCTGCGCTGGTGAAGGGAAAGAGGTGAGCTGTGGGGAAGAGAGGGAGACAGGTCTAATACGAAGGAAAGAATCGCGCTAAGGAGATGCGAAAGAGATAGGCTATTGGCAGTGATGGAGGAACGGAGAGACAATGGTTGATCAGGGATAAATGGGAGAGACAACGGTCAGGAAGGCCTGAGAACGCGCGGGTGAGAGGATGGGCTAGCGCGTCTCTGTGATGAGAAGAAGCGGGGCGCGGAGGACAAGGAAGATGAGCGTGACACTTCCAACCTCAACTCGTCCCGGCCCCTTCCTTCCTATGCGTCCCTGTCCCACTCCACGCGTCCCTGCCCGCCCAAATCCGTTTCGTCACCCCGTTCCACATGCCTTTTCCTCTCCATGCACCCTGCCTGCACCCCCCATGCACTTGCGCGGCGTCCCTCATCCTCATCGCTCCCCCCAGCAACGGGTCGCACAAGGTGATTGGGTCGGAGCGGCCGGTAATGGAGGACAGGGTGGCACTCGAACTCTAGTGTTTCCCACCCCTTTCTGCCTCGACCACCCCCCTCACTCCCCACGTTTCCTCCCCGTTGCCCCCCCTCCAAGCTACGGCGCCCACAAGGTGAAGGGGTCGGAGCGGCCGGTGATGGAGGACAGGGTGCACCTGAACGCCCTAAGTGTTCCTTCTCCCCCCGCCCTTTCCTCCCCATTGCCTTGCCTCCCCACAGCTACGGCGCGCACAAAGTGAAGGGTTCAGAGCGGCCGGTGATGGAGGACAGGGTGGCACCCGAATTTCCTTCTCCCCTCCCACTCCCCCCCTCTCCACCCTTCCTCCCCCTCTCCCCCCCAGCTACGGCGCGCACAAGGTGAAGGGGTCAGCGCGGCCAGTGATGGAGGACAGGGTGGCACCCAAATGAATTGAATGTTCCTTCTCCCTCCCTCATCCCCCTTAATCCACAGCTACGGCGCCCACAAGGTGAAGGGGTCAGCGCGGCCAGTGATGGAGGACAGGGTGGCGGCGGTGGTGGAGGGGGAGAAGCGCCCCTCTTTCTTCGCTGTGTTTGACGGCCATGGGGGGGCCGCTGTCGCCGAGTGAGTGGGGGGGTGGTTGGTTTCTTGGTTGGTTGGCTGGCTGATTGGTGTGCCAGCCAGCCACTGCACACCAAGCACACTGAGAAGCGCCATGCGCGGTGTATCACCAGGTTTGGTATCACACACACTGAGAAGCGCCCCGCCTTCTTTACCGTGTTTGAAGGCCATGGGGGGGCGGCTGTCGCGGAGTGAGTGGATGGTGGGAGGTTTATTTCTTGGTTGTTGGTTGGTTGGTGGTATGCATATGCGGTGCATCACCGAGGTTGGTGGCGCGCACACGCACTGAGAAGCGCCCCTCCTTCTTTACCGTGTTTGAAGGCCATGGGGGGGCGGCTGTCGCGGAGTGAGTGTGGATTTGTTGGCAATTTGGGCGTGGGCACGCAGGCACTGTTTCGTCGGAGGTGGACTGAGTGGGTCCACATGGGCGTTTGTTTGCTGAGTTGGGGATGGATTTCTCCCTGAGCAGTTATTTACATGCGTGCGTGTTGAAATGTAAGTGCACGGTGAAGAAACGTCCTGGGAGTTGCTGTGATGCTTAGGACCTGCTGGGACTGTTTCACGGGCGCTTGCTGAGTTGCTGTACTGCGAGCAGCTGGTTGCTTTGCTGTGCAAGCTGGACTGGCACTCACTCACTCAGTCCGCTTGGCGTGTCTGTCTCTCTCCTACACGCGCTGACGCCAGGTTCCTGGAGAAGGAGCTGTGGCCCGCATACAAGAAGAGCATTGAGAGTGAGCGCCGTGCTGTGCTTGCTTGCTTGCTTCGCGACTCGTGTGTTTGTTTGTGTGCGACATGCACATGTGATAGTTCTTGGAGAAGGAGCTGTGGCCCGCATACAAGAAGAGCATTGAGAGTGAGTGCCGTGCCGTGCCGTGCTTGCTTGCTTGCTTCAGTGCAGTTTTACCTTCTTCCCTGCTCCCTTCCTACTTCAACCTCACCTATCCAATTCATCCAGTGCATTTCTTCCTATCCCCACATCTTCCCAAAACTAGCGAGATTTGAGAATTCCAATTCGTGCACTCCCGTTCCCGTGTCTCCCCATTGCTGCATGTTTCTCCGTTGAGTGAGCCGGCTCACGCCTCTCCCTCCCTGGCGTCTCCTCGTCCTGCACGCCTTTCACTCCCCACTTCCCACCTGCACTGCACCACTTCTCTCCTCATGCTCCCTCCCTTCCACCCATTCCTCCAGTCCTCCCATCTCGCCTCCATGCTCCCAGTCCTCATCGGCATCAACCGTGCCCCCATGCGCCCCCACCCGCGCACCTGCACTCCCCCCTCACCCTCAGCCGCGCTGAGCAAGGGCACGAGTCTGGAGAGGGCGACCCTGCGTGCGTACGAGGAGGTGGACAAGCGCACCCTGGTGAGTGAGCCCGCACACAAGGGCATGGGGCATGGGGCATGGGGCACGGGGCATGGGGCATGGGGCATGGGGCATGGGGCACAGCGCATAAGGCATGGGGCATGGGGCATGGGCATGGGGCACGGGGCACGGGGCACGGGGCACGGGGCATGGGGCATGGGGCATGGGCATGTGGCAGGGGGCATATGAATAGCTGCTGAGCAAGAAGGGCTCGAGCGTGGAGAGGGAGGTAGTGTGTGTGCATATGAGGAGGCGGACAAGCGCAGTCTGGCGAGTGAGCATGCAAGGAAGGAGGAGCAGGTGACTTCATGGGTTCGGGTTTGTGTAGACACAAGGTGATCTTCTAGTCGACACGAAAATCACCTGGAGAGGGTGACTACGTGGTGCGTGCTTATAAGGAGGTGGACGCGTGGACTCTGGTGAGGGCGAGGGGTGGATGGTGTGCCGCAGGTGGGGGTGGCATGCAGTGTGGCATGCGGGCGGGGCAGGTGGTTTAACAGTTGAAGGGTTGCGCATATGCCCCCAATGGGCCAATCTAATGCTCTCCCGTACCCTCCCACGCCACTCATCCCTCCCCACTCCCCCCAGGCGCCCCCCAAGGGGTTCTTTGGCATGATGATGATGGAGAGCAGCATGGGCGGCCCCGGCGGCCTCAAGTGCGACTCTTGCGAATGCATCTCATCCCAGTCTCCTTCCTCCTCTCTCCTACTATCCCCCCCAACACCCCACACTCACTCCCAAGTGCGGCTCCGGCCAATGTCACCTCCCATTGCAATCCTCTTTCTCCTCTCTCCTATGTTTCCCCCCACCCCTCCCCTCTCCCCCCCACTTCTTCCCCAGGCGCCCCCCAAGGGGTTCTTTGGCATGATGATGGAGCGCGGCATGGGTGGCCCCAAGTGCGGCGCCTGTGCCAACACCGCTGTCATTCTGCCCCAGCCAGGTGAAAACACCAGAGTGCTGCCGCACCAGCCAGGTGAAAACACCAGAGTGCTGCCGCGCTTTCCAGGCGAAGGCAACAGAGGTGGTGGTAGCCACTCGCTTCAGGTTCAAACAACAGTCAACTGTAACTCCTGGTGATAAAAGTGATGTTTTGAGACGTCTCAACTCAAAACATAACTTTTATCACGCGGCTATCAATAGTAAACTGTAACTCCTGGTGAGAGCAACATTCATCTGGTTGGTAACCCCTGCCCAACCCTGACTCGCGCCTTGCTAAGTGCACGCTTGCCTTCCTATCCAGCCACAACCCTCAGTTGCCCACTCCCTCTCTCCCCTTCTCCCTCCCGCCAGACGGGTCATACCAGCCGGTAGCAGCCAACGTGGGGGACTCACACACGTACCCAACTTTGATTGCTCACTTCCCTTGCTCCTTCCCTCTCCCCCTATTCCCCTCTCCCCCCTTCCCTCCCTCCAGACGGGTCATACCAGCTGGTAGCAGCCAACGTGGGTGACTCTCACACGTACCTGTCGCGGGCAGGGGAGACCATCAAGCTGAGCGAAGACCACAAGGTGGGGCGCGGAAAGGGTGGGAGATGGGGTGTGAGTGGATGGATGAGTGGGTGAGTGGGTGGGTGGGTGGGTGGGACACACGTACCTGTCGCGGGCAGGGGAGCCCGTCAAGCTGAGCGAGGACCACAAGGTGGGGGGCGGAAAGGGTGGGAGGGGACGGAGTGGGTGGGGGGGTGGGAGGCAGAGCAGTATGAGGGGGCATATACCTGTCCCGTGGGCATGGGCATGTACCTATCCCGGGCAGGGGAGCCCATCAAGCTGAGCGAGGATCACGTGGTGGCGCGTGCACGGAAGCTGGCGCGTGCACGGAAGCTGGCGCGTGCACGGAAGCTGGCGCGTGCACGGAAGCTGGCGCGTGCATGGAAGGTGTTGCGGTGGGGGGAGGCACAGAGGCACAGTGGGTGATGGTGGAGCATATATGGGGGCTGGTTAAGGCCTATGGGGAAGAGAAGGGGTCTGAGCTGCATCCTGCACCACTCACATGACACCTGGTAGATGGCGGGCAGGCGCCCATCTGCCCATTTTCCCATCTCCCCATCTCCTTTCTCACATCTCACATCTCCCAGCTTCCATCCCCCATCTCCCCATCTCCTTATTCCGTGTTCTCAAATCCCCATCCGCTCTCCCCCCATGCCCGCTCTCGCCCACTGCAGCCCAACATAGAGGCGGAGCGCATGAGGATCGAGCGCAAGAACCCCACCCCCGGACAACCACTGGTATGTCAGCGCGACTGGCACGGGTACGGCTGGTACAGCAGGCGCTGGCATGCCTCTAGCAGGCATGCCTCTGGCAGGCATGCCTCTAGCAGGCATGCCTCTAGCAGGCATGCCTCTAGCAGGCATGCCTCTAGCTGGCATGCTTGCCTCCCTGCGTCTCTCTCACGCTGCTGCCGGTGCGCATCGTGGGGATGGGTTCTGAGGAAAATCTATTATGCACTGCCCCACACTCCGCCCCTGCTCTCCCCCCCTGTCACGGCACGGCCTCCTGACTGCAGGTGCGCATGGCGGGGGGCGAGTGGCGGGTGGGAGGGCTGCTGGCGCTCTCACGTGCGTTTGGCGACGTCTACCTCAAGGAGTGAGTGCCCCTGCCCTGCACCGCCCTGCCCTGCCCTGCCCTGCCCTGCCCTGCCCTGCCCTGCATCCCTGCTGCCTCGGAGCCTGCATCCCCCCTCGTTCTTTGTGTTTACTTCCCACTCCCAAGCACATAACATTGGCTGACACAGCATGGTCTAATCTAAGCATTATGGCATGAGGTTGAGGATGCACATACAAGTGTCCCGTGGTATGCCCCTGCATTGATGAGATGACATAATCTACGGGCCGGAAAGCAAACGTGCTCGTGCGTGTGTGTGCGCCCATCCCCATGCGTATCACCAGAAAATGGCTCTCCCAGCGCACCTGCCAGCGCACCTGCCAGCGCACCTGCCAGCGCACCTGCCAGCGCACCTGCCAGCGCACCTGCCAGCGCACCTGCCAGCGCACCTGCCAGCGCACCTGCCAGCGCACCTGCCAGCACACCTGCCAGCGCATAGCCCACACACGGTCCTCATGGCCTCGCTGTCTCATGGCCTCATCACATCACCCCCTCTCCCTCCCACCACATCAGCTGGAGCGATGGCACCAGGGACGGTGCGCGCGGAGGCTTTGGGCTCACCGCTGAGCCCTATGTGACCGTCCTCACCCTCTCCCCTGGTGAGCCGCCTCCCTCTCTCGCCTTTTAACCCTGCCTTTTGAGTCGACTCAAGAGCCACTCCGGGCTCACCGCTGAGCCCTATGTGACCGTCCTCACCCTCTCCCCTGGTGAGCCTCCTCCCTCTCTCCACCTTGTTGGCTCTCCCTCTCTCACCCTCTCCCTCCACGGGACACACGACAATAACAGGCACGTGCCATGGGTGGTTGCACTCACTTGCCAAGCCACCCCTTCCTCCTTCCCTGCATGCCGCACGGCGTGATGCTCTTCACTGTGGCCTTACCCTCTCTGCGTGTGTATTGCTGACCTGGCAGGCGATGATTGGCTGATTATCGGCTCGGACGGGCTCTGGGACGCGGTTAAGAGCCAAGAGGCCATCGACCTGTGCCGCAAGCAAGGGTGCGTTGACTTTGGTTGACTCGAGCTGACTTGGCGTGAATGGAGTTGTGACTTGGGTTGACTTGTCGCGACTTGGCTTGGTTGGAGTTGACTTGAGTTGACTTCTGGTGCAAGCATGTTCATGTTGAGTTGGTTTGACTTGTGCTGCAAGCATGTTTAGATTGACTGTTGTCGGTGTCTGCCTCACTGATGCCTCTGGCTCCCACACACCTGCTTTCTTCATGCTTGCTGTCCCCTCATCTTCATTCCCTTCCGTCTCATCTGCTTGTTGCTCTCCACACTGCCTCTAATTCTCATCTCCTGGAGCCCTGCTTTTCCCCCTCTCCCTGTTCCCAAATACCCCCCATATAAGCAGACCCGATGCACAGCTGGACGCAGTGGCAGCAGAGCTGGTGGGCATGGCACAGAAGAAGGGGTCAACGGACGACATCAGTGCAGTCGTGGTGCGCCTGCCCACCGCTGATGCCGCCCCTGCTGCTGAACAGTAGGTGCAACTAGATGAGCTACAGGACTTATCATCGACCAGCTGATGGAGGTGTTGAGTGGAACAACCACAGCCAAACCACGTCAAGAGGTCTCTGCCAATCACATCCAAACTGACAGCGGTGCACAGCAAGGTGGCTGTGAGGCCTCTGCCGATCAACTGCGGAAGCTGCAAAGGCCGGCTGCCAAACTGTAGCTATTGGTTGGTGCTCTGCTCAAGATGCAGTGCGGTTATCAAAGCAGCATGATGCTGAAACAGTTGCAGGTTGATTGGCAGCCAGGCAGCTATGGGTGCTGATGTGGCATGGTAGTGCGGCCGATGCTGTGTACATGCAAGCACCTGGGCTGCGTCTAGGGTACTGTTTGGTCTATCCATAATTGCCTTGTACAGGCGAGCGTACGGTATGTGCTAGATGGTGTATATGGCAAGCAATCAATAACCAAGACAGTTAATAATAATCAAACCCCGAGGCAGAGGGGAGTGTGTCCAGAAATCCACTCTTTGTACCGGTATCAATTGTCACCTTAACCAATCAGCTGGGGAGAACAAAGAAACAACCCTTGAAAAACCTGAGTGACAGCCCCCTCCCTCCTCCTAGTATCTTTACTTGGTGGAATAATCCTTAGGCGACACCACCAGACCCCGCCCCTTCCTGTGCTCACTGTGGTGAATAAATTCCTCAACGGCACCACAGTGACAATCCAGCCCCCTCCCCCACCCCCACCCCCTCCGTCCGTCCTAGTATCTGTACTTGGTGGAATAGTCTTTAGGCGACACCACCAGACCTCGCCCCTTCCTCGCCCCTCTATAAACCGTCTCGACAATATCCGTGAACTCCTGCTTGTCTTTAAGCGCCCAGTTGATCTTGTTATTGTTACCGGTGCCCAAATCAATCATGATGTGCTTGTTGCGGAAGAAGAACATGACGGTGCAGGGGTCGTAGAGCTCGTACATGGTGTTGAAATCCGGCACCTCTGAGATGTCCACCAGATAGACAACTGCGAAGTTTTTTATGGTTTCTGCTACTCCTGCCAGCACCTCGTCCATCTGATGGGCGCCGACGGGGAGCAGTGGGGGAGGGGGGGGGGAGAGAGGGAGGGGAGGATAGGGAGCAGAGGGAGGGGAGGATAGGGAGCGGAGGGAGGGGAGAACGCGATGGCACAAGGGTTGCAAAGCCCGGCGTACATGGTAGGTACATGGTGTCGAAGCCCGGCGCCTCTGATCTGCCGACTTTTGAAGCGCCTTAAAACAAGAGTTCTTCAAGGCGCCTCAAATGCAGGCAGGATGAGGGCCACAAGCAGATGCTGGGAGGGATCGTTGAGCGGCACGGGGAAGGCGGGGGAGGGTGAACAGCGGGGGGAGGGGGGAGGGTGAAGGCCGGAAGGGGAAAAGGCCAGGGACAGATGAGAAGGTGTGGGGAAAAGGTCGGGGGGATGGGGAAAAGAGGGAGGAGGGGGGAGGGTGAGGGGGGGGGGAAGGTGGAGTGGAGGGGAGGGGAAAAATGCTGGAATGAGGTATACAGAGGAGGTAAGGGAGAGGAGGGCAGGAAGCGGGAAGGCGGGCAGGAGGGGGAAAGTTTGGCGGGAGGGGAGAAATCGGACGGAAGCAGGGAAGGCGGGGGAAGGTGGGGCCGAGGGGGGAAGGCGAGGGGGAAGGGGGAAGACGGGCTGGAGGAGGGAAGGTGGGAACGAGAGTGGAAGGTGGGGGGGAGGGGAGAAGGTGGAAGGGGAGAAGATGGGGGGGGAGGGGGAAGGAGGGATGGCGGGGGAAGGTGGGCATTTCAAAGTGGGCGCAATTAGGCGGGGGGGAAGGTGGAACAGAGAAAGGGCTCGGACGGGGCAGGAACGGCGGGAAAAGGGGGAGGGAAGGGCGAGGCGGAGACGGGGGCGGGGGAAAAGCGTGGGATGAATGAGGTTGAGGAACGTGGGAGCGAGGGGAGAGGTCAAGGTGAAAGGGAGAAGGGGTTTAGAAGGCTAGGGAAAAAGGTGAGAGAGGGACTGTGGACGGCGGGAGGAGGAATGGGAAGACAGGGATGGTAAAAACCCGCGAAATTCTTTCCCCATCCCCAATCTCCCACATGCTTCTAGCTCCATGCTGCGGCATGTTCCGCGTTCCATCCCGTATGCTCTTTCCATCGCTCTACACAAGCCGCCCCACCCGCATGCACACGTCATCGCACCTGCATGCACACGTCATCCCAATCGTGGCCGAAGCGGATCACGAGGACGCGATCCTCCTCCGACAGAATCGCCTGATCCACGGCCCACCCGCTGTGCAGATGCGGTAACAGGTACGACATCGCGACGTCGCACGGCGACGAGTGGCGACAATTGGCGACGGAAGACGACGGCCAGGCGACGGAATGTGTAGGACGGCGAAGGAAGTCGACGGAAGACGACGGATACGCCGATACACCTTCTGCGTGTGGCGACAAAAGCTGCTGACCGAGCGACGGCAGGTGAAAGAACACGGAAGAAACTACTAACAGAATGGAACTCAGGGTCGACTGTCAAGACGCGGCACTCAACCCTGCTTTTGTCATCATGGGCCAAAGTTCCAGAGAGGTTCAGGTCAGGTCCGAGGGGGAGTGTTGGAGAAGCAAAGTTTCTGGAGCAGCAAGCGGGAACGTCGGCGACGATTTCAAGGCTTCGCGAATTGTTCAGAAACTTCCGCAACGAATCAGATATCAGGCGTTGTGCAAAACCCCGCTAGAGTCGCATGCGATACATCCAGCAGAAACGATGCCGAATATCATCGATGCGCTGAAATTGCTTAGGAAGAAGGTTCGAAATATTTTCAAGTCGAATTCTACCCAAGCGCTTAGAATTTCGAGCTTAGAATACTCCACACGGAGAGACTGCCTAGTTACTGCCAAAATGGCAGCTTTATACGACCACCCGAAACGCCCTTTTCGCTGGCGCAATGGCGGATTCATATGGAATTTACTACTGCCGTTCGTCCTAATCTTTGCTTGTAACAATTCCCATGCCTCGGCTGAAGACGCCATTGATTGTAAGGCTCCCATTTTTTGTTAGTTATCGAGTCATAAAAACAGAGTGTCGGTGCCTGGTCTCGTCATTTCCAGTGCTTGGGCGTATGACACGGCGTCACCGACGCAATACGTTTTATTCTAGAAAATACGTTGCATACTGTTAACTTTGCCGAAAGTTTAGGGTAACGAAGTCACGGTCGCTCGCTCCGTAGCACGTCGTACCTACGGGGTACTAACGGCAGGCCCATGAGGCTCCGTAGAGCGGGCGTGCGTGGAGGCGTCTCCCGCCTCGCGGCGAAAACAAGCATGCGAGAGCGAGCACATGCCAGCGATGCGAGAACGAGCAAACGCGAGCAAGCATGCGAAGGCGAGCATATGCGAGCAAGAATGCGAGGGAGAGAGTTCCGTCCGACGGAGAGAGCGAGTCTGAGTCGACAAGGGCAGCCGAGGATGCCGCGATAAAGTCAGAATTGACTCGCATCGAAGCCTGTATTTGACCTGTCATTCGAGACTCATGTGACTTTGGAGTAGTATTGGCCATCTGATTTGGGGATATCAACCGACAACGGTGGCTTATCCTTTTCTCGGTACCTCCGGAGCCGGAACGCCTAGAGAAGATGATGCTCCCTTATCTAGGCAGGAAACGGCGAAGTCAACGGGTTTCGTGCTTATCGCGGCTTGATTTCTCCTCGTGATGTCTTATCTTGCTGCAGGACACACACGCAATTCGCGGCTTTGCCTTTTCTGTGTGACATTCTGATCCCTCAAGCACTTGGCAAAGTGCAGGGTTGAGCAGAGCCTAGGCGCTGCTGGGTTGGTTGGCCCAAACGTGCAGACACTAAGTTGGGCGTTCCAGGTTTATGGCAGGCACTAACTCTGCTGCAGACGCACTGATTTGTGTAATGGTTGTGCCATCACTGCTTGTGTGGTTGTGGATGTGGGTAAGGTGTGAGGGAGTGACGCATGCCATGATGGAGTGTGAGGGAGTGATGCATCGCACGCATGGCAGCGTGAGGGATCCTTGCAGGCCATGGAAGCAAGACATTCAAGTATGTGATTCGTCAATCCTGTAACGATCTGGTTACCTTTCCACAAGCACCTGGAGCGAAGGCATATGCCTGTAGTTGCAGACCAAGTACATTCCAGCCTCAATCCCATCAACGGCTCGCCAAACGCCCTCCCTTTTGCCTTGCAAATTCATATCCTTCCTAATTCATATCCTTCCCTACCTTTCCTTTCCGGTCTTGGAAGACCAGGTGATGAGCGACTGTGCAGCTGCCTGGGGTCGAAATGACCTTCCTTCGTCGGCCTGCTACTCGGAGCTCACTAAATGCGACCCTGTGTCTCGAAACACAATATCCCTGTGAGTCACAGCTAGGAAATGCGACCCTCCCTGTGAGACAGAGCTAGGAAATGCGGCCAAGTGCAGAGGGGAATGGTTCCTGTGCTGTGCTCTATCATAATGGTGGGAATATGCTGGTTTTGAGACGTCTCAAAGCCAACCTTATATAAAAAATGGTGGGATGTCCCGCTTGTGAGGCGCATGCGCTCCGCATCAGATTTGACTGACGTTGTTCTGCAATTTCATGTATTAATGGTGTAGTAGTGTGCTCTAGTCTCGAGAGCCATGATGTTGTGGGGTCTCGACTCTAGACAAGTCTATGACGTGTGGCTGAAAACGTCCCCAGCACATAGATTTCTTGTCAGCACCACTCGCATGAAGGAATAGTTGTTGCGGGGTCTGACAAGTCTGACAATTCTAACAACGACCTCTTAAAGCCCAACCGTCCAGTACCAAACTCAGCCCCCAGTCCCTCTCCCGCTGGTGTGCAGAAATTTCTCCAGCATGATGCTAACAGGAGTTATCCCACCTTCCATTGGCCTTCTCACTGTTCTCACCTACCTGTACGTTTCTTCCTTTCCTGTTCACTTCACCACACCCATCCAGCCCCCCTCACCCCCCCCGCCCTTCTTCTTTTCCTCCATCCCTTATAGGGTAAAAAGCGTCCACTTGTGAGCTTCTCCCCTGTCTACTCACTTGCGCTGTGCCGCTACCCAGACCATCCTTCTGTAACCCTAGCTGCCATGCAGCTTTTTCTGCCTCAGTGGGGACTCTCGGGGCAACTTACCAATGTGATATGTGTGTGTGTGTGTGTGTGTGTGTGTGTGTGTGTGTGTGTGTGTGTGTGTGTGTGTGTGTGTGTGTGTGTGTGTGTGTGTGTGTATGTGCCTGCGTGTGGATGCATGTGATGCAACACGAGTGGCTTGAGGAATTGGTTTGCGTGAGTATGGCATGGCATGGCATGGCATGGCATGGTTTCGATGGGTTCTTCATGGTTGAGTGTGTGTACTTGATGGCCGAGTTGAGTGTGTATTGATTGGGTTGAGTGGATGCTGGATACCTTGAGTGGGCATGAAATGGCATGCATGGGTGGAATGGCATGCATGGGTGGCATGGCATGGATGGATAGAATGGCATGGCATGGATGGATGGAATGGCATTCATGTATGGAACGGCATGCATGGATGATGAATGCATGCAGCAACCTGTCCAACAATGGGTTCCTTCGAGGCTCCATTCCCAGCAGCTTCAGCAATCTGTCTCAGTTGAAAGTTCTGTGAGTCCCTTACAAGATGGCTATGCCTGTGTAATAAGGACCCTCTGCGCTTGTGAACTGGTGGTTTGTAACATCCCTTTTGCATCTGCATCTCGCAGCCCTTCCGTAACTTGTTTGATACAATCTTGTTTTGAACGCATTGAACACTGGCTGGCTGGCACACATCCACATTGCATATGTGCACCGAGTGTTCAGCCAGACGTCTATGCTGACCTGCACATGCGGAAACGTAGCTATACATGTTGATCACGTGAGAAACGGTTGGTTCTGATCTGAGGCGGCGTTTCAAAGGCAAATTGCACATGCCGAAACGTAGCCATGGACATGTTGATTTCTTTTGAGGTGCCCCAGAAGTCGCCTCAAAAGTTCGAGACGCCTCAAAAGTCTGCACATGCGGAAACGTAGCTTCGGAAATGTTGATTGGCACATGCACACCCACGAGCTCGTCTCCTTCTTTCGTTCTCCCTCTCACTTGTTGTTGTTTATATGGCTTGTCTTCGTCTCATCATTTTCTAGGAACAGTGCACCTCCTGCCTGCCTCCTGATCCATCCTACCACTGCCACCCGAAAGTGCAGCCTCTCCTTAAACCCCTTCTGGCCCCTCTTTGCCTCTGCTCACACCCCTTCTGGCCTCCCTTTGCCAGTGATCTGTCCAACAATCAATTAAACGGGTCGCTAGATGTGTTGACAGCAATGACCAGCTTGCACCATCTGTAAGGCCATTCATCACTAACTGTGTGCAGCAACTTTTGAGGCGCCTCAAAAGTCTTCTGTAAGGGCCCTTCATCGCTAAGGGTGTGCAGCGGGCCATGCTGCTCGTGCTTCCATAGTTCTTGCGTTCATTCATCATGCTGCCATGGAGAGTTCTCCTCTATCTATCTACCCCTCACGAGTGTGTGCGCCCTCGTTGCCACTGCGTGCCTTGCGGGCACTGCCAATGTGTTTGGCTGCAGGGCACTTGCCCAAAACAAGTGGGAGTGGGCCCTCCCTTCTTCTATCTCCGCCCTCACTGCGCTTACTTATCTGTAATGCCATGCCATGCCAGCTTCAGCCAGAAGGTCGCATTTTGTGTACTATGGTGCCAGCTTCAGCCAGAAGGTCGCGTTTTGTGTACTATGGTGCCAGCTTGCTGGCTGGCATGTCTGTGATCCCATCCCATCCCATGCTTGTGACTTCGGGTCCTGCATGCACGAGAGAGGTTCTCCGTAGCACCACTTTGTGTTTTGGCGTTTTCCAGTCCATGAATTAATGGATGGATGAATGAATGAATGAATGAATGAATGAATGAATGAATGAATGAACTTACTTAGGAGCCCTCCTCTCCCCCCTTTTCTTGTTGCCGCTGGGTGAGCAGAGACCTGTCAAAACGAGCATCAACGGATCTGCATCTATGCTCTTGCATCTCAGCGCGATAAAACTACTGTAAGCCTATCAGCACCGGAACGCAAACCACACACGTGTCTCGTCCTTTCTCACGCATGTCGCAAACGAACGTCACATAGTCTGCCTCAGCCCTCTTGCATCTCAGGAATGTAAAGCTTCTGTGAGGTGAGCCTATCAGCTCAGCACTGCAACGCGCACACATCCGTGACAACAGGGAGGGAGCTTGCCATCACATATTCGCCTCCCAGTGTTTCCCTCTCACTCCCTCACTGTCAACATATGTTCATCAGATTCTCACCTTTGCAATTTTGCCACCTCTGGTTTGTTGTAACACGTGCTCTTGTAATCCAGGCAATCATTATGCAATCATTATTCAATCATTATGGGTGGTTCCGCCAGTTTGAACCGGGTCGCTCGGTTCGGCTATGTCGTCGAGTCAAACCTGGGTCATGTGTACTGATTAACATGGTGCGCACTGCGTGTGTGTTTGACCTGGGGCTTCAGGAACTTGAGCGACTGCGCATTGTCTGGAAGCTTGCCACAGCGCATCGGCGACCTCACCAGGCTCCAGTCCTTGTGCGTTCTGCTTGCAACCAATGCTTTCGGGTGCTCGACGCTCGTGTCTCCGTTCACGAGAGCTGAGTTGGTCATGGTGAGGCCAGCGATCCAGGGTTCTCTCCATTCTGCTTTGCATCCACCTCGTACGTTTCCTTTAGGAATAAATGGCGACTCGTACCCAGTCCAGTCTACCCGTGCAAAGTTAGTCAACCGAAGGGTTGTCTGAAACTGCAAGGTCAGATGATTTTCCGTGATTGTAGCATGTCACTGTGATGCGCGATTCTAGAAAATCAACCAAACTGAATGAATGGCTAGGGTCTGAGCTGAGGCATGTGTTGTTCTCTATTTTCTTCTCAATCATTCCTGACGAATTAGCGCGTGTGTGTGTGTGTGCACTTGCGGGCATATGCAGGTGTGAATGTTTCCGGAACGTCTATCCATGCCTCTTTCATGCAGCGATTTTTCCTCAGGATCTATCATTGGAAGCATACCATCGACTATCGGACAGCTGACCAACTTACATGTTCTGTACGTTTCCATGGATACACATGGGCATTCAAGTCGAGTTTTGGCTCGATTCGTAGTAGGATTTTTTATTCTCCGGTAAAAAAAAAACCCGCCAATAAAGGGAGGAGGAAGAGTGCCTCGAGTTGAGTTCGAAAAAGCCTAGACTATGTGGTCAAGTTACAGTTCAGGTCTGAGGTTTGAAAAAATTATGAGCAGGTTTTCCTGGACTTGTCTCGAAAGCCACAAAGAAATCGCCAAAAAAGAGTCGCACTTGTTATCCTCCAGCCAGCCATGCTTGTCACCTTCCCAGGCAAGGAGCCTATCAGAATAAGAAGATTGGGATTGTCCTCTCACTCGCGTCCTCTGGGTTATTTTTCAAATTTTCTTTCTTTCTTTCTTCCTTTCTTTCTTTCTTTCTTTCTTTCTTCCTTTCTTTCTTTCTTTCTTTCTTTCTTTCTTTCTTTCTTTCTTTCTTTCTTTCTTTCTTTCTTTCTTTCTTTCTTTCTTTCTGCTCTTTGTTAATCTCATTTGATATGCCTTTCGATGCTCTCTTGTCTTGTCCACAACTGCTTTTGCCGTTTCATGGTGCCGTCTTTTCTACTGCACATAAGGTTACTATTTCTATCCGGACTCCTCCTTACTGCCATCCCCTGTCTTGGTGCTACTACAGTATGTACCTCTGTGTTCTGCATTTCCTTTCAGATTTATTAAAGATTCTAACATAAGTGGAACGATACCATCTACTCTTGGTCAACTCAGTAGCCTACGCCAGCTGTTAGTTCCCTGACTTTTCACCTGTATCCAACTTCATGCATTCATGCACCTCAAAACTCATATTGAGTCGATTCAAAACTCGCCAGCTGTTACACACCTCTATGCTCTATGGGAGTCACTTACATGAATTCTGTATTCACGCATGCAGAATCTCCTTTAACGTCTTCACGTTTCCTATTTAGTCGTCCGTGGAGTGGACGGCTAAGTTGCGGAAGACGCGTCTTGGGCAGATTAGACGCTGGGATAGACGCATGCCCGGGCAGGCAAAAAAAACGTCCGGGCAGCAAAAACAACCCTCTTATAGGGCATGGAAAGGGCAGGGAGAAGGACATTGCACACATTTTGGCAAAAAGGGTTGAGGGTTTTTGAACGAGAATTGAGTTGGACTATATATGAGGAGCACAGATGAGGTGGTTGTGCTCCTATATGCCTTAGGTGGTGGTCCACAAAGATCTTTGGGGTTGCAATTTAGGTTGGGGGATAACAAAAGTTGGTTGGGGGGGCTGTTTTTCATTGTCGAAATGGGTGGGAGGGGGTTCAAATGTCGCGAAATTGAATTTCGCGCGCGCGAATTTTTTTTCGGGCTGCCCGAAAATATATACCCCATGCGTCTAGCGTCTACGGGTGCGTCCTGCGTCTAGCGTCTAGATGCTGCGTCTGCGTCTTCCGCAACTTAGGTGGACGGTGTCGTGCCATGCCTGTACCCAAGTGAAGTGATGCTGTTGCATAGCCTGATGCCATGTGACACTATGTACACAGCAATGGAGGTTTGGTTTGGTTCTTGCAAGCAAGCCACTCGAGCCAAAGTCATATGACATGGTCGACTCAGACGCCCTTGCTTCCTGCCATTGCACCTCATGAATACATGCATACATACGTACATACGCATACACATACACACACACATGCACGCACGCACGCACGCACGTAGCAGGTCCCTAGCTTATAACTTTATTGCAGGGACCCTTCCAGCATCAATCAGCAACTTGTCAAGTTTGGAAGTGCTGTAAGCAACATCAACATTTACGTAGAAATGTTCATTAACGAAATCAGTCCCAAGAAACAAGGTGAAGGCATCTTTTTTTTTACACAAGGTTCAGATGAGTGGTGAACTCTGATGAACTGGCCCTGTTTTTTGCCGTGATCATGCATCCTTTGCCCTTGTGTTTTTTTTTAAGTCGACTCAAAAGTCATTTTGTGTTTTTCTAGGAGATTGGGAGGCAACAAACTCACAGGAACTTTGCCTGCATCACTTCAGAGCCTGACATCACTTCTAACATTGTAAGTCGATCCTGTGTGAACCAGTGTTAAATGTTCCAAAGGAATGTTTACTGTAGAAAATGGATCGGTAAACTTCAGGGCACAATGAGAAAAATAAAATATATCCTTAGTAAGACGATGGTACAAGCCTAAGTGACTAGAGCGATGTCATTGTCCAAGGATAAGTTATAGTGAAGTAAGAAGCCACATATGTATGGTTGAACTCTTGAGGCTAGCTGCAGCACCTCAGAGCTGAGGGCAAGGCTAGCCAACCTTGCTAAGCTAGCAACTGATGCCACATGTTGCACATGTGGGCCAGGCTAGAACAACAACCCACATGGCAGCATATGGCACACCATAGGGGCCAGCAAGGTGAGCATGGGATGAGTGGACAGATGGCAATGGCAACTGTGACCACACTTCACTGTGAGCAAGTGTAGTGGAGTATGGACATGTCATAGTGAGCATGATGAGAATGGAAAGTGCAGCTGCTGAGGGTTGAACTTCTCACCTTTAAGACCAAAGGTGAGAAACTACCCACTTGGACATACTTGCTGCATAACATTTACCATGATCCTGATGTTCTCACGTAAATACAACACAAGTACGGTGGCAAGCTGTAATTGAGAGAGAAACGAAGAAGTGGAGAGAGGCAATTTTCTATGACCTAATGCTCTTATTCCCTAGTGACCTGATGCTCTAATTCCCAAATGCCCTAATGTTCCGTAGTGGCCTAATGCTCTAAGTTCCTAATGCCCTAATGCCTAATTCCGTAATGCCATAATGCACTAACGCCCTAATGCCCTAAGGAATCAAGGCGGTCACGCTCTTGCATTGCATTACATGCATGTGGATGGGCCGGCTCATATGCCCAAGTGCAAGGACGAAGCCCAGGCTTGCCCATTTGCTCTGCTTATACCTAATGGCCATTGTCTTTAAAGATGTGACAACGAAATTAACCAATCAGAACCCTACTCTTCCCCAGGGCTCTATCTCTCAATTATATCACCACCCTCTACTAAGCCCTTGAACACTAAGCCCTTGTTAGTTGATTGATTCCTTCCTTTACATTGTGCTCGGGTGGACTTTTGCTTTGAGTGTGGTGCTGCAGGGACCTGAGTTACTAAGTGAATTGTGAGTCGACTCAAAGGTCACCTTCGCTTCGAGTGTGGTGCTGCAGGGATCTGAGTTACAACTCGTTTACAGGCCTTCTCCCTTCATCCCTCGGAAGCATGATAAGCCTTCAATACTTGTAAGCCAAAACAATTGCATGTGGGCCAGATATTTTCCACAACTGCTTAGTTAAAAATATATATTTTCTGCTGTGAAAATTTTCCAAAAACCCTCATACTGGAACAGTGGTTCCCACACGCACTAGGGCTTGGGATGGTTGCTGATGCCCTTTTCAGAACAGTTGAGCGCCAGGGAGGGAGAGGCATTCCATTCAAAAGCCCCCTCTCCTGCGGCTCAAGTACCAGGGCCAGGTGTTTCTATGTGCACCAAATAGTCCGTCCGTGCTATACAAGGAAGAAAGGAACATATATTGGCGAATTGCAGCCTCTGTTTGTCGTAATTTTATCCCCTGCGAAAGAGAGCCATAAATATATGGTTGCATTTGATGTGTGCTTGTGCAGAAACGTGGGGTACAACTTGTTCTCAGGAACTTTTCCTGCATTGATTGGAAGCAGCATCAATCTTCAGTACCTGTGAGCCAACTGTCCCATGGCGCCTTTTGAGTGCCTGTAAGCCAAGTGTCCCTATTTCCTACATATGATCCTTTCATTCCTCACATGGACGCCGCAACTCCCCGATGGGGCGAGGTGGGGTTCATTCTGGAAGCTCGATTGCATCCTCCTTGCATCGCCTCCCCCATGCTTCCCTGCACTGCACTCCCGTCCAAGCTTCTTCATTTAGCCAAGAAAAGCCATGAGAAGCCGGGAGATGGAGTAGCACAACGTTGAATGAGCTGTGATGATGATACCACCCTGGATGATGCACAAGGATGGATCCACAAAGGCACCATGTTATTTGCATTAGGCATGAGCGAAGGCCCAAGCCGAGCCAAAAGATTCGAGAAGCTGGACTCTTCGGCAAGCCGTCGGCGTTGGCTCGTTGAGGCGCCAGCTGGTGACGTGGTGAGCGAAGTGCGCACGAGCATGGGTCTGGCAAGAAATGCACTGCATGCCGGTGCAACGGCACGCATCAGACAGACTAAACCCGGGGAAGGTCCATGAGCCGCCAACAGGCTCGGCCCGGCCCGAGCCTCCCCGGCTCAGCACGAGCCTCCCGGCTCGTTCCTCTATGACCGGTCAGCCACAAGCGGGGCTGACTGACGCAGAAATCGGCTCGTCACGAGCTTCCGGCCTGCTGTGTCTCAGCAGCCCTAACACAGCAGCCCTAACACAGCAGCCCTAACACAGCAGCCCTAACACAGCCGAGAGTTGACTTTTGAGACAGCAGCCCTAACACAGCAGCCCTAACACAGCCGAGAGTTGACTTTTGAGACAGCAGCCCTAACACAGCAGCCCTAACACAGCCGAGAGTTGACTTTTGAGACAGCAGCCCTAACACAGCAGCCCTAACACAGCCGAGAGTTGACTTTTGAGACAGCAGCCCTAACACAGCAGCCCTAACACAGCCGAGACACAGTCGAGACACAGCCGGCCGGAAGCTCGTTGAGATGAGCCTAGATGAGATCAGCTCGTTGCAATGCAAGCCGGCCCTGCCTTGACCATTGCTCATGCCATGCCATATACGCTCTAACCCACCCTTCGGCTGTGTTCAATCACTTACAGGGCTTGTCAATGGACCAATCTCTCGGGAACCTCGCCTGCGTCCCTGGGCAGCTTGACTAAACTGGCTTTGCTGTAAGTCAGGCGTTTGCACTCTGCTGCCTTCAGTCCAGTCTGGTTATTGATAGCAATGAGCCATTCCCGTCACACATGCTTGACAATATGCACAAAATGATTGAATCACAATCACGATGTTTCTTCTGTTTGGCCTTGCTCAGGAACTTGGAGGGTAACTCGTTGTCGGGGGTGCTCCCTGCATCGCTCGGGAACATCACAACTGATTTGACACTGTGAGTGTGAGACACGTGTAATGCATTGCTGTAACTTCGTGTATTTCTCTGTGTTTTTGTCCTCTCTTTAGCACCTTATTTGTTGTCTTTCGCCCCTGGTTCATACATACTGTACTTTCCGCATATTCATGACAATTGAAGATGTCCGAAATTTTGCTATTTCTCACAAACCAAACCTTGATTTGCTCATGCTCATAAATATTTTATTTTACTGTAATCATTGTGCTATTTCTCACACTACTTGCTCTTCTCATGCTAATTACTCTGTCCTCTCATGCAATCCGCTCTGTCTCCTCCTCGTCTGCAGCAATCTCCCGGACACAGTGACATGCCCCAAGGCAGGGGCGTGCGTGGTGGACCAGCAGAGAGCATCCGCCTTCTGCTCTTTCTGCCCCAACTTCTGCTCCTCCTGCTCTCCCCCGGGTCTCTGCTCCTCCTGCAAGCCACCAGGTGCCTGTGTGTGGGGACATGGAGAGAGGAACTCGAAAGGGGCATATGGGAGCAGCAAAGAGGGGATATGGGGGCAGCAGAGAGGGGCTTTAAGAGCACTCAGGTTTATCAGAGCATTGTGTGCCTGCCTTTCTTAGCTCTTGACCGCTCCTCTCTTTCTTTACATATGCCTTCATATCGTCACCTTCAGTCCTAAGCTCGTTTGTCCTCCTTGTTCGCCCTCACCTGTTCCTCTCGCCTGCCATGGCAGTGCAAGCAAACGCCTCGAGAGGCGCCTCAGAACTCACCCATTCCTCCCACCTGCCATGCCATGGGCAGTGCAAACCAACGCCTCTGGGAGCTCCATCCCTGCGAGTCCTGCCGCTCCCACAAGCCCCTCCAATACCCCCTCGGATTCGGGTTCGGGCGGCTTGTCTGCGGGGGCCATTGCCGGCATTGCTGTCGCCCTGCTGCTGCTGCTGGCAGCTGCTGCTGCTGGTGCGGCCTGGTGGTGGCAGGAAAGGCAGACGGGTGCAAACAGGACGGAGAGAAGCAAACGAGGTGGGCCGTGCAGGGCACCTCTTTCTTGTGAGGCCGCATCTGATGTGCTTCGTGCGGTCTGCTGCTGGTCACATTTACAAATTTCACTTTGCTACCAGAAATGAATTTTACATTAGTCTTTGTCGTTTTGAACCGGCCACCTTGTTCCCTGCTCCCTGCTGCTCCTTGGTGGATGTGTCATCCCAGGGGGTCTATCAGGGGAGGTATGTCTGCCGGGGGTACACTCTAGGAGTTGACTAAAACATCAGCCACCTTTACCCTTGTACTTTGGTGGTTAAATTATCTCAGGGGGTCTATCAGGGGAGGTATGGCTGTCGGGAGTACACTTTTATGAGTTTACTAAAAAATCGACCACCTTTTCCCTTGTCCTTGGTGGATGAATCAACGCACGGAGTCTATCCGGGGAGGTGCGTCGGGAATACTCTCGACGAGGTGTGCAGGGCGACAGGCGCATCATATTTTGTTCCTTGTTCCTTGTTCCTTGTTCCCTGGTGGATGAATCGTGTCATGGGGTCTATCAGGGGAGGTATGTCGAGAGTACACTCTCGACGAGGTGCACAAAGCGACTGACAACTTTTGAGGCGCGTCATATTTTGTTCCTTGTTCCTTGTTCCTTGTTCCTTTTTCCTTGTTCCCTGGTGGATGAATCATCTCAGGGGGTCTATCCGGGGAGGTATGTCGGGAATACACTCTGGACGAGGTGTGCAGGGCGACGGGCAACTGGAGCGAGGAGAATCGGCTGGGGTCGGGGGGCTTTGGGGACGTGTTCTGGGGGGTGTCTCCCGACGATGGCAGCACTGCGTGGGCTGTGAAGCGTGCCAAAGTGATCACCAACGACTTTCACAACGAGGTGATTGACTGACTATGGCTGCATTACCTTTGTGGCGCCTCATATGATGTCTGCCAGGGAGTGTCCCCCGTCGATGGTGCCACTGCGTGGGCTGTGAGGCATGCTAAAGTCGTCACAAATGACTTTCACAACGAGGTGATTGACCATGGCATGGCATGGCGGCACCGCACTGCACCGCCCGCTCTCACTTTGCACCACTGCGTGGGCTGTGAAGTGCGCTAAAGTCATCACCAACGGCTTCCACAATGAGGTGACCATGGCTGCAATGCCTTCTAAATACATAGAAAGATGAGGGACATACATGGGAAGTGTGTGGAGAATGAGTAGGTTGGAAGGGAATGAAGTGGTACAAAAAGTTGCTTAAGTCATCACAGATCACTTTTACAACGAGGTGACTGACCTGACCAGGGTTGCACCGCCCCGCCTACTCCCTGCTTCCCTTTGCTCTCGCTCTCTTTTCTAGAGTTAAATGTTGTGCTTGTTGGAAGATTTAGAGTTTGAAGTTAGAAGCACCGTGTGGAATCGTTGTTGGTCCGCTTGTTATGACTGTGCGGAAGCAAGCACCAAGCAATCCTGGTCAAAAAATAACTCAGATGTTGGTTTTTATTCGGTTCACCCATTGAGCTATCCCTCCTTTCTTTGCTGCACAGGTGACCCAGATGGCCTCCAAGCACCATCCCAACCTGGTGCGGCTGTTGGGTTACTCCATGGGGGGCGATGTGCGGTCGAGCATAGAGCAAGTCCTCATCTACGAATTTGTGTCCCACGGCGACTTGGCGAAATGGGTTGGGAAAGGTGGGTGGGTGTTAGGTTCCTTCCTGTCATGAGCTTCTAAACTTGTATTGTGAATTTATTTTTTTGATTGACTCTGTGGGAAAACATGTATTCCCCAATAGATCTCCCTCTATCTCCACTTGTATTGTAGTTGCCAACGTGCCCTTCCGTTTGCCTTCGTCCTCTCTGACTTGTATTCATGCCACCAGAAGCACCAACGCCCCTCACGCTGCAGCAGCGGTTGGGCATCCTCATCGGGGCGGCGCACGGCTTTGAGTACCTGCACAGCTTCGGCATAGTGCACCGCGACATCAAGCCCGCCAACATTCTCCTCGATGCAAAGATGAATGTGAGCTGGTAGATAGGGGTGGATGGGGAGGGATGGAAGGGGGGATGGTGCAGGGATTCATGTGGATGTGATGCAGGAGATAGAGGGAAAAGGGAGGGTCTGCAGTACCTGCATGGCTTTGGCATCGTGCATCGCAACTTCAAGCCTTCAACATTCTCATAGATGCAAAGATTTAGGTGAATGAAACAGGCTGTGCTCTCGACCTCTCTAGTACTATGTCTCTCGACCTCTCTAGTACTATGTCTCTCGACCTCTCTAGTACTATGTCTCTCGACCTCTCTAGTACTATGTCTCTCGACCTCTCTAGTACTATGTCTCTCGACCAAGCTGCACCTCGAAATTTTTCTAATGTCCTTCCTCACGCACGTTTTTTCCTTGTCACTCCGCCCGGCAGCCAAAGATTGCTGACTTTGGGCTCGTGCGGCTGGGGGAGGGCAGCACGGTGGGAGCCACGCGAGTGATGGGCACTCCAGGATTTGTGGACCCGGCGTACTGCAAGTCGCAGATGGCCACCACAAGCACCGATGTGTACAGGTAGGTACGACTCATTTGGCGGGTGGGTTGGGGAGGATTCAGTCAGAAGTTACCGCAAGTCGCAGAGGGCTTGTTCGGCTTTTGAGGTAACTTGTAGGTAGGTACGACTTGGCTGGCTTATGAGGGGTCCCAAGAGTTGGGTGATGGGCACTCCGGGCTTTGTGGACCCGGCTTACTGCAACAAGTCGCAGATGGCCACAAGCAGCACCGATGTGTACAGGTACGACTCATTTTGAGACGTCTCAATACAGGTAATTATTTATTCGGCTCAACACGTTTGTTTCGGCAAAACAATGCGTAGGGGGTATTTCTCCCCATTGTTTGCTTTCTCGTTGTGTTCTGGCTGCTATGTGTTAATAGTTCTGTGCGCCGGCGCCGGCTTCTTAATTCTTTCTTTTCTACTTTGTGCTACTCCTCTTTACGTACTGCAGCTTCGGAATCGTAATGCTTGTGGTGCTGACGGGGCGCAATGTAAATTTCGAAGTGGATGGCGAGATGTGTAACCTCCTGGAGTGGGTAAGACACGGAACCTTGTACGTAGGTAAGGAACGCACTTCACGCATGAACGACTTTGCACGGAATGCATCCCAGCTAAACGTACTGGAATGCTGCTTGGGTTTTCCAGACAGTGTGCTTTTGCAAGCTCCTCCTGTCACCCTCAGTCATCTTCTCTTTTAGTGTCTCCATGGTAGCGGCACTTCTCTCGCTCGCTTGCAAGCTGCAGTCTCGCAACCTGGCGCCTGCCAGGTGGGCGCCCACATCTCAAACAAAGATGCCTCCCCGTCCCTGCTGAGGGACCTGCGCCTGGAGGCCGAAGAGACCCCAGTCCCTGTCCATGTCATTCTGCGTGTTGCCGTCCTGGCCCTCACCTGCACTGCCACTCTCACATCCCGCTCCCTCCTCCTACCAGGTGGGCTCGCACGTCTCAGGAGAAGAAGACCCCTCCCCGCTGAGAGACCCACGCATGGAAGAAGAAGACGCCCCTGATAATATCATACTGCGTGTTGCCCACCTGGCCCTCGCCTGCACTGCCACGCTTACAGCTACTCGCCCCAGCATGGCACGCTTGGCTCATGACTTGGAGGCAATCCGGGCAGAGGTGGTCGGGGAGGAGGTGAACCGCGCAGCAGAGAGGGTGGATGAGGTGGTGCGGCTGGGCACAGGGCAGATGAGGACGCTGGATGAGGAGTTGAGGATTGTGACCGAGTCGCTGGATGCTCATGCTCATGCTGATGCGGATGCGCCTGAGCTGAGCTATGAGGGGGACAGGTTGTTGTCGTGAAATGGTTGTCGTGTCGGCAAATGGTGGCGGCAAATATGGGGTTGTTTTGGCAGCTTTGTGGTGAACAGGGAGAGGAAGACTTGCTGCTTTGGGTGAGATTACTGTATGATGGCATGGCAAGACTTTTGTGAGAAGCGGTCTCCCAGATATGTGTCCTGTCCAGAACTAGCCATCACAAATGTTTGAATTTGAAGCCCCTCCTTTTGGGACGCCTGCCCATAAGAATGCATCCCTGTATTGTTCCAGTACGGTAAGCATGAATCGTTAGATATACAAATTGAATATAACACACAGAACTTGGTCGGTCTGACCCCCACCCCACGGTTCAAGCAAACCAGCAGCTCCAACTGAAGGAGAGTCTAGGAGGGGACACCGTAGACTGGCCCAAGAGGAAAGGAAAGGACTGTACAATATTCTTTTTATGCACCGGTACATGTAAGAAAGAGGCCATGTCACAGCATAGGTGGGTGGGTCTAATTGGAGACCATGGTTTCGGTTTCCTGCACGAATCCATCGCCCGTCCACTCCTTGTCGGACGCCAGGCCCCTCTTGGCCGCATTGCGCTGCTCCACCGCCTCCCTTTGCCGCCGCACCAGGTCCGTGTGTGTTGTGAAGTACTGCAGTGAATGCCTGGGGAGGGGTGTAAAATGGGGGGCAATTGGAGGAAAAGGGGAGTAGGGTGGGAGGGGTTCTGAGGCGCCTCAGAAGCCCTCTGCCGCCGCACCAGGTCCATGTGTGTTGTGAAGTACTGCAGTGAATGCCTGGGGAGGGGTGTAAAATGGGGGGCAATTGGAGGAAAAGGGGAGTAGGGTGGGAGGGGTTCTGAGGCGCCTCAGAAGCCCTCTGCCGCCGCACCAGGTTTGTGTGTGTCGTGAAGTACTGCAGTGAGTGCCTGCAGTGAGTAACGGAGGGGTGTTAAAGAGGGGCGGGGTGGAGTTGGCAGGAGGGTTGAAGGGGGACTCAGAAACCCTTTGCCGCAGCACCAGGTCCGTGTGTGTCGTGAAGTACTGCAGCGAGTGCCTGGGGAATGGGGGAGTGTTGGGGGGGGAAGGAGAGGGAGAGGGAGGGGATTAGCGGGGTTGAGGCGCCCGAAAAGCCCTCTGCCGCCACACGAGGGCTGTGTGTGTTGTGAAAGTACAGCATTGAGCGGCTGAGGAGGGGGGGAGGGGACGAATCTTGGACTTCCCCTCTGTCCAGAGAGGAGAGGAGGGGGAGAGGGGATTAGTGAGCGGGATAAGAATTCAGGCTCAAGAAAACGGAGATATAAGCTGGAGAGAAGGATACAGGAGACCAGTGTTGTTAAAGCCCGAGTCCCAAATTGCGAGGCGCGCGGGTCAAGCTTTTAAAACTTGAAGGTGAGGAGCTTGAAAACTTGAAAGAAGCGCACTTGCAATTTGGGACTTTCGAGCTCCCACCAGGGGAAGTCGAGGATTGGCTGTGTGTTACGAAAAAAACGAAATTGACGAAATATTTCCTCTCACCACAACCCAAAAACTGAACTCCTCCCCGTCAACCTTTTAAAACTTATGCAATCTGGGCCAACGGAAAATAACTGTAAGCACTGATTGGATTTTGTCTTCACATGCAACAAGGAAAATGCCATTATCTCGTACCCTTTAAAGTCACTAATGGATGTCAAGCCGTGCTGCTCCATGAATCCCTGCAGGCCCCCACAGAGCGACTTGACGAGCCCATAGCCGTGCAGCATCACCCCCGTGCACACCTGCAGAGATGATGGGATGTGGCATGGAGATGTGCGGAACAGGGAGCATGCATCACGGAGCAGGCACAAAGCAAGGCAAAGAGGAAAGTCATAAACTGGCCTTAGGTTGACTTGACGAGCCCATAGCCATGCAGCATCACCCCCGTGCACACCTGCCGTGATGATGGGATGTGCGCGTGAGCACACACGGCTAGGCAGAGGAACACATGTGCAGATGCTTTTGGACATGCGTGCAAGTGTATGGGAACAGGGTGAGTTGAGAAGCCCCACCAGCAACCACCAGTGCCAGCCCCGATGTGGATTGTGTCACCTGCACCATTTCCCACCCACCTGCCCCGTGTTCCACCCACCTGCACCATATCAGCTACCAGCAGGATGAACTCAGCTGCATTCTCCCCAGTTTCCATCCCCCCAATGCCAGACAGCGACTTGCCCTGCCCGGGGAACCTCTCTTCTCTGCCTGCACAGTGTCCCACCCACCCACCTGCACCGGCTCAACTGATACTACACATTTGCACCGTGTCCCACCCACCTGCACCGTGCTCCACCCACCTGCACGGTGTCTGCACCCAGCAGGATGAACTCAGCAGCGTTCTCCCCCGTCTCCACGCCTCCAATGCCCGACAGCGACTTGCCCTGCCCCGGGAATCTCTCTGCTTGCATCCTCGCGATCTTCATCACATGCGCCAGGGCTATGGGGCGCACTGCCTTGCTGGAATACCCGCCTGGTGTTGTGTAGCTGGAGCAGTGAGGAAGGGAGGGGGGAAGGATAGAAAGAAAGGGCAAATGGTAACCGAATGTGTGAGGCAGATCAATCACCTCCCTGCTTGCATCCTCGCGATCTTCATCACATGCGCCAGGGCTATGGGGCGCACTGCCTTGCTCGAATACCCGCCTGGTGTCGTGTAGCTGCAGGGGTGGGGAAGGGAAGGATGGAAAGGGAGAGCAAGCGAGGGAACGGGAGTAGAGAGTGTGAGGCGGATGAGTCACCCCTTTTCCTCCATCCTCGCAATCTTCATCACGTGCGCCAGGGCGATGGGACGCACTGCCTTGCTCGAATGCCCGCCTGGCTTTGTGTAGCTGCAGGTGGTGAGAGGAGGAGGTGGTGGGAGGAGGTGGGGGGAGGAAGTGAGGGAGCAAAGGAGTTGAGGGGAGGAGGTGGAGGTAAGAAGTGAGGGAGCAGAGGTGCTGGGAGAGGAAGTGGGGGGGTTTGGCAGCACGGCGTGGACCACCACGTGCGCCAGGACAATCCGGCACACTGCCTGAAGAGGCATTGCTGGAGGGTAGACGAGAGGGAGACGAGGGTGTACGCTTGGTTGGCAGAACATTAGGCGTATATACTGCCTTGAGAATGAAGGAGGAGGATGCAATGAACATGGAAGCCCTCAGCAGAAACAAGCACGCCTGATAAACAGCAGTCCTTGCACAGATCTCAATTCAACGCCACCCAATCACTCACCCTTCAACGCATGGCTCGGGCCGGAGGGTCTTGAGGTTGACCTGCACGACAAGAAGCTGTGCTCACAGGAAGTCTTAGAACACTCTTTTCCTCACCTTTCAATGCCACTCACAGCAACTGTTTTCCTCAAATTTCTAAGCCAATCACCCACCCCTCAACGCAGGGCTCTGGTCGCAGTGTCTTGAGGTTGACCTCCATGACGCTTGTGATGGTGTTGATGGCGCTCACTCCCTCGCACCCCGCCTCCAGTGCCACTCGCGCTGGCTGCACGCACAGAAGGAAAGGGAAACGGGAGAGGGGGGAAAGGGAAGAGGGGCAGAAAACCGCTGATGCCCCTAACGCCTCTCATGCCACCTGTGCAATCCACCCCTCCCTCTCCTTGTTCTCAACCAGCCCCCTCTGACCACACCTGAGTGATGTCGGTGATGTTGGGCGCTCCCATACCCTCCTTCACTGCACACAGCAGCTCGCAGCCCTGCCTGCCCCATCACCGTATTCTCCTGCCCCCTTCCGCTCCCCTTCACCTCCCACACCACCCCTGCAGTACCTGAATGATGTGGGTGGTGTTTGTACTTGAAGACCACTCAAAATACTTACCTGGGGAATGTCGGTGATGCTGGGAGTCGTCTTGGCCCACACAGGAAAGGCGGCAACTATCCTCCCTGCCTCCCTCCCCTTTCATCCCCTTCACCTCCTACACCATCCGTGCAATACCTGAGTGATATCAGTGATGTTGGGGGTCATCTTGGCCCACACGGGGATGTGCGAAGCAGCGTTGATCCACCCGCACACCTCGTGCAGCAGCTCACAGTCCTGCCCCATGGCCATGCCCATGCGCCTCTCCGGCATGCCGTGCGGGCACGAGAAGTTGATCTCAAACGCGTCCTAAATGAGGGTGGGGGGTAAGGAGAAATTGCAGAGGAGTTGTCACAAGTGCAGTGGAGCAACACGAATGTCACATCGCCATGCCCATGCGCCGCTTTGGCTTGCCTTACATCGTCATTTCTTACACGAGACGTTGATCTCAAACGCGTCCTGTGTGAGAGGGAGGGGGACAGCAGAACTTGGAAAAGAGATTGTCTTTAAGTTGATTTATGAGTCACATCGCCATGCCCACGCGCCGCTCTGACATGCCCTGGGCCTGTGATGCATGTCGGAGATGAGAAGTTTATCCCGAACGCTTCCTGCACGAGGATAAGGGGGAAGTTGCGAAGAGCTTGCAGAACAGTGACTACTTTGTCGAACACCGTTGGTTTGGTTCCTGATTTCTATGACAATGGCTCATGCAACAATGCAACCGTTCATCCAATGCCTGGTCCTACTCAACTCGTCCGACACACAACTTCAGCCCAATTAAGTCAGGTTTACTCTGGTTCAATCAGGTCCAGTGCAGTCCAATTCAGTTCAGTCCGGTTCAGTGCATTTCGGTCCAGTTCCTCCAGTCCACGTCAGCACTCACCACGCCGACCTCCTCGCAGCGGCCAATGATTTCCTCCCACGCGTCCTTGTTGAACTCCTCCATAATCGACGCGATGAGCACGCGGTGGGGGTACTCCGCCTTGAGCTGCTTCAGCTCCGCCAGCATCACTTCGAACGGCCGGTCGCTGATCAGCTCGATGTTCTGCCACCCTATCACGTCGCGCGAGGCAGGCGCGCGCAGCTTCGCGTAGCGCGGAGTGACGTTCACCACCTTGGAGGAGTCGAGAGAGAGCTGCGCAACGGGGCGCAAGGGAGGTAGGGGGGAAAACGGGGGAAACGGGGAAACGGGGATGTGGGGGATATAGGGAACGGCAGCGGGTGAGGGAAGCGCGCAGCTTCGCGTAGCGCCGGGTGACGTTGAGTGAGTCGAGTGGCAGCTTCGCATCTGGGAGGAGTCGAGTGAGAGCTGCGCACCGGGAGAGGGAGGAGGGGGAAAAGGGGGGGGAGGGAGGGATGGAGGGAATGGAGAAAACGGGGGAAACGGAGATGAATGAGGACATGTGAACATGGGGACGAGGGGAGGGGACGAGGGGGCATGGGGACATGGGAATACGCGGAACGGGGCAGAGAGATAGAGCGGGAAGAAACGGCTCGCAGCTTGACGTGACGTGAGGCGACGTTGAGGACCGATGCGGGGTGGCGGATGCGTGAATTTTAAGTCGCCTACAAAGCGTGAGAAACAAGCGGTGATATTAGTACGTCGGTACTAAAGGTCCGCGTTAAGCGAGAATACGGACAGAGGAGATGACTAGAAAGAAAAGGTGAAATTGGGAAACGGAAAGGGAAACAAAAAGATGTGAGGGGCGACACAGGACTCGAGGAGACAAATTTCGGAAGAAACATCCACAAAAACGCTTCTTGTCTTGTCGTTTCCTTCTTTTTTATTCTCTCTCGCTCTCTATCTTTCTGTAGAAGCGAGGCCATCGTGGCTTGAAACTCACCGTCTTGCAAATGACGCCACCCCAGCCCTCGTCAAAGGCCTTCTTCATCACCACGTAGTTGGTGCCGGGTGGACCCGAAGCGATGACGAACGGGTTGGGCAGGCGCAGCCCGTTCACCTCCACGCTCAGGTCCGGCCCCTCCTGCACCTTCCCGTCCACCAGCTTCGCCGTGCGCGACGCTGGCGCGCCGTTGCCCGTCGACGCGACGATGGGTTTAACTCGCCCGAGAGAGCGGGAGAGGGAGAGAGGAGCGGTTTTGATTTTCAAGGGTGAAGAGAGGTTGTGAGCGGAGCTGAGTGTCTTGGCTGGTTTCGTGCTCACGAGGGGACTCCAGGTGACGGCTGACTTCGCCATTGCTGTCGCCATTCTATGAGAAACAGAAGCAAGCTAAGCCGAGAATTTCAGCGACAATTGAGCGTGAAATCAAAACACGGAGTGCGAGTGAAGCAAGAAGAGCGAGTGCGATGTCACAATTCGGAATCAGCAGACCAAGAAATGCTTGAAATCGGCGGAATGGCGTGCCAAGAAATCTGAAATTGGCAAGGCTGGAGCTGGACAATGAAGTGGCCTTGCTGAGGCACCTCGAACAAGAGACTGCATTCCCAAAATTGCCCAGGATATCCTGAGTGTGTCCCGAAACGGTGAGACATTTTGTCATGATGCTTTCAAAGACTCTGCCACTTACTCAACAGTTTGAGGCGAGCACAATTGCCGCAGACACGTGTACTCAAGGATCTTGTAAAAACATAAAACTCCGGGTTTCGTTTACTGAACACTGCCTGCGACCCGCAAATAACTAGCAGCTCCATTGTGGCGGTGGAGATGCATTGTCTGTTGAGCCACGTCGGCATCTGGGTTTTCCACCTACGCAGGGCTTTAGATGAGGAGACATCTGGTGAGTGGCTTGTCAGCTCGACCATGGCAAAGCAGATGTACAGCCAATCAGAACAGAGGGCCAGTAACATTACAGAATGACAGAGAAGCAACAACCAATAAGCACTGCGAATCTGGCTTCACAGATGACACGTTTGTTCCCGTTTTAGCGAAGCTCGATACAATTCTACGATTTTGGCGGTTTATAATATCAAACAGCAGTGCTGCTGGGCAATTCTGTCGCAAACCTCTCACTGGTACCGAAGATCCCAAATTCGTCCCCATTCGTGAAGCCGAACAGTCGCATGGTTCGACATAATTGAGGCAACAGATCGGAATGGTCGCCCGTAAATCGCGCGCTCGCTAGCCCCCTCAACGCCTTCGTCCTCCTGTCCCTCGTTTTGCCCCGCCACGTCTGCCCACGGCCGTCGACTCAAGGCCCTAAGTGCCTCGCGTACATGGCCAGCTGCGACACGCAGTCACGCCTTGCGTCGCGGAAATCCACGCACGCGCCGTGCCCTTCCGTCGCTGCCCCACCTGCCCTCCCGCGAGAGGGGCCTACCGTGTGGGCCCTCGTTCTCTCGCTGTTCTCGATCTACCCCATTAAACCATAGGGCTTGCCGAGCATCCGAATTTCGCCCTGTTATCGCCATCCACGTTGTCTTCGTCCCCCAGCCACAGCCCTCCTTGTTGTGCGCTTCGCCACGTCAGCTCTGTTCTAGGTGCGACGAACGCACAGAGGGACGAGGGGTGCCGCGCACGAACTCCAAACGAGGGACGTCCTGCCTCATCCCGCCGTTGCCAACTTCGCAATTGCCATTTCTCACTCAGAACCTCACCCCAACCGCTTTAACCGCCCACGCCGGCCTCATCGCCCTCACCACTAGCTGCACGTCCCTCCCTAGCCGTTTGTGAGGGGGGGGAGGTCACAAACGGCCCTCACCACCCACCCACCTAGTCGCCCCACGGCCCGCTGCCTGCTCACACGCGCCATGGATTGTAAACCGGAGGGAGGTCACAAACCCCGACGCGCACGGCGCAAACCACTTCGTGCAAGGTCGGCTTGCACATACCCGATTCTGCTTTTCGTTTCAATTTTTGCCTTTGTCCTTGTCTTGTTTTATGTCTTGTGGATTGTTTCGTTCGGTTCTTTTTTGTTGTCTTGGCTTTTCGCTTTTGGGCAGGCAATTTCCGAGCGGATGGGCTATTTAGTGAGTTATATTTTCTGTGCTTGTTACTCCCTCACGCGGTGTCTCCTGTCACGTCTGCAGCGTCGACCAGCCACTCCCAGCACAGCAGGTAGCACCACAAGGGGCTACCAGCAGGGCTTCTATACCGCCTGGCGCCTTCTCGCCTCCGCCCGGCACACGCAGCGGCAAGGGGGCTTCAGAGGCGTCTGAAAAGGCATCTAAGCCGCCTGGCGCCTCCTCACCCGTGCCCAGCTCGCGCCGTGGCAAGGCAGGGCGTACCCCCAAGGGCCTTAGTAAGGCACCGGGGGAAGCAAGGGAGGCAGGGGAGGGAGGGGAGGGAGGGGAGGGAGGGGCGCTGTGCGAGTTGGAGCAGCATGTGCTGCCATGGCGTGTGGACGACATCTGTAACGACCAGCTCCTCTCCACCCTCGTGAGATGCAGATGCTGCTTACACTTGCACGCACCCTTGATGTCAATTGAGCTTCACATTGGGTAACTGACATAGCATTTGGTTGTTCGGTTCAGTTCGGTCCACCTCTGTGATAGTACTGCACGTGCAGCAATCATTGCCCTCGTCTCCTTCACCCCTTGCCCCAACCCACCCCCCCTGCACTGCCCATGCCCCTTGTCAGGTGCGGCCCATCCCCACCACCTTCACAGACGTGCCCACCTACCTCACTGCGTTTCGCTGGCCGCTGCTCGAGTGCCGCGCCTCCCTCAAGCGCGCCCTTTGAGGCACCTCCGAAACCCAACCCCCCTGCACTGCCCATCCCCCCGTCAGGTGCGGCCCATCCCCACCACCTTCACAGACGTGCCCACCTACCTCGCTGCGTTCCGCTGGCCGCTCATCGACGAGTGTCGCGCCTCCCTCAAGCGCGCCCTGCTCGACCTCCCTCCCGCCTGCTCCCTCCCTGTCGCCGTGCGCGCTCTCACGCGCGTGGAAGGTGGCCCGGTGGGTGCCTCCAGTGGGGGGGTGGACACCACCACTGCTGGTTTTTGCTACGTGGACTTGGAGGTGTGCCGCGCGGTTGGGATCGGTGAGGCGGGTGGGGCCGGCGAGGCGGGGAAGGCGGGTGCAGCAGGGCAGCGTGTGGATGGCAGCGGGGCGGAGCTGAAGCCAACAGACGTGGTGCTGCTGTCCTCTGCGCCCCCCTCTCGCCCACCCACGCTGCTCGCCCCGGGAGTGCTGCACTGCCTGGCGCTGCTCGTGAAGCCGCGAGGGGGCGGCCTGCGTGCCAGGATGGTGGCTCGTCGTGAGGGCTCGCGTGAGTACAGCGAGCTTAGGGCGGCAGTGGAAGCGGCAGCAGAGGTTAGCGAGCAGGCGAGTGCAGTGGCAGTGCGGCGGTATGCCACCCCGCTGGGGGGCCTGGCCACGCCCCTGCGCGTGTGGGCAGCGCTGCAGGGAGGGGAGGAGCCGGGCGAAGAGGGCGCGAGGCGGAGGAGGATGCTGAGGGCGCTGCTGTGCTCCAAGGAGAGGCAGCAGGGGAGGCTCAAGGCTGGAGCCAGGAGAGCAGGATCGGAGTGGAGAGAGGTAAGGCGCCAAGGCAGTTTGGAGGGACGGGGAGAAGTGGGAAGGCTCGGTGTTGCGTTCGACTATTACCTCCTCCACTGCTCACGTTCTCTTTGTCCCTCTGCAGCGAAGCTCGGCGGTGCCTCCAGCCATTGCAGTGGCGCCTCACGAGGCAGCAGCTGTGCTGCAAGCTGTCTCGGACCTCTGCACTGCCCGTTACCTCAACCCCTCCCAACACGCAGCCGTCCTCTCCTGCCTCTCCGCCCTCCTGCCCAACCCCACCCTTCCTCCTGCTGCCGCTCTCCTCTCCCCACCCCCTGTCGATCCCACTGCCTCACCCCTCCTACCCTCCTCGTTCTCTGCTGCGCTCCGTTCCTCCTCCTCCTCCCCCCTGCAGCCCCTGCAGCTGGTGCAAGGGCCGCCAGGCACAGGCAAGACGCACATGCTGGCGGTGCTGCTGTGGGCAGTCCTGTCCCTAGGCGTGCGCACGCTCGTGTGTGCGCCCACCAACGTGGCAGCCGCCGAGGTGGCCCGCCGCATGCTGCGCCTTGCTCTCGCCGCTGACCCACCCCTGCTCCTCCCACAGCGCTTCTGCCAACCACAGCGCGCCCAGAGCGGGGGTGGCGGGGCAGCAGCAAAGGGTGGGGCGGGGGCAGGAGCAGGGGCAGGGGCAGGGGCAGGGGCAGGGGCAGGGGCAGGGGCAGGGGCAGGGGCAGGGGCAGGGGCAGGGGCAGGGGCAGGGGCAGGGGCAGGGGCAGGGGCAGGGGCAGGGGCAGGGGCAGGGGCAGGGGCAGGGGCAGGGGCAGGGGCAGGGGCAGGGGCAGGGGCAGGGGCGCGTGGAGAGCGGGTGCAGGTGGGGGACATGGTGCTGGTGGCGAAGGAGGAGCGGGTGGAGGTAGACGGCGAGCTCAGCTTGCTGTTTCTTGGCCGCCAGGATGGCAACAGCGGCAGCGGTGGGTCACGCAGGGGGCGAGTGTGGCGGCTGCAAGCGGCGCTGAGTGGGCTGACCGGGTGGATAGGCGCATTCAGTGCTCTCATGGGCGTGCTGCAGTGTACGGGCGAGCAACTGCGCCTCTAGTATGAGGGGCAGCAGGAGAAGGAGCACGAGGAGGAGCACGAGGAGGAGCACGAGGAGGAGCACGAGGAGGAGCACGAGGAGGAGCACGAGGAGGAGCACGAGGAGGAGCACGAGGAGGAGCACGAGGAGGAGCACGAGGAGGAGCACGAGGAGGAGCACGAGGAGGAGCACGAGGAGGAGCACGAGGAGGAGCACGAGGAGGAGCACGAGGAGGAGCACGAGGAGGAGCACGAGGAGGAGCACGAGGAGGAGCACGAGGAGGAGCACGAGGAGGAGCACGAGGAGGAGCACGAGGAGGAGCACGAGGAGGAGCACGAGGAGGAGCACGAGGAGGAGCACGAGGAGGAGCACGAGGAGGAGCACGAGGAGGAGCACGAGGAGGAGCACGAGGAGGAGCACGAGGAGGAGCACGAGGAGGAGCACGAGGAGGAGCACGAGGAGGAGCACGAGGAGGAGCGTGAGAAGGAGCGTGTCACAGCCAAGGAGGAGAAGGCTGGAGGGGGTGGTGGAGGGCAGGTTGGCGGGGACGGCAAGGCGGAGAGCAGCGGTGGCAGGAGGCGTGAGGCTGCTGACCTGCTGAGCTTCTTTCGAGAGCGAGTGGGGAAGCTGGTGAGCCAGGCGAGGGATGCAGCTGCCATTCTGGCCCAGGACCTGCCGTCCTCCCTCCTGCCGGCACACCACCGCGCGCTGCTGCTGCAGGCTGTTGAACTCCTGC